AGACTCCAAATTGCTTATGCAATCTCAACTGACGATAAAACCGTACTAGAGATAAAGAGCAGATGGTCCGGCACGCACACGCCATCACCATTAATTAACTCTGATCCGATTATTTTCAGGCTGCTGTGAATTAATGTGCGTGTCCATATCATATGGAGAGGTGTCAAGGTGGTCTTATTGCGCGGATAACCTGACGTCGGTCGCAAATAGTGACGCAAGAGTGCGCGTAACAAATCTTACATCTTAATCTGTATCCTGGCGTCTAACGAGGAACTGTACACATAGAAAAATTTGTCGCTCGTATTCTCCATCGCGCTGATGCCGGTAGGTTAAGAGCGTAACGCGTATATCCCTTCGCATCTCCTGTCACTGTTAACGCTACATTCCTTCGTACCCTTGCAAATCGCGTTGGTTACAAACGCAACTGTATACATCAAGAAGTAAATTCCACTTGGTGATTGCGCCGCCGCGAGTATCATTCTATCCTTTGGTCTGTTTCTTGTAGGTGCGTTCCGAAATTCACTGTAATGGAGGATTTACACCGCGTCCGATATCCGATATCCAATAAAAGAATAGCTTTCCAATGGAGAATTGAATTCTCTATTAGAAAGCTGTTCTCCTATTGGATATCGGATGTCATATATCGGACATCGGACGCGGTGTGAATCCTGCATTAAGGTGCAAACCATCGACATTTATATCATGTTCTGGCTCTGAGTTAACCCACTCTGGATTATTCAGCCTACGTTTATTGGTCGAACAACTATTTATAAGTAGCTTTATGATTGGCTAGTAGAGACTTATGACATCATTAATCGCTCTCGGAGCGATTAACCAGGGGGTCGATTATGTATCTCGAAACGGAGTGAAATTACAAAAGTGATCAAATTCATTAGGCGTTGGCCAATGAAGTTACAAATATTCTAGTAAATTTACTCACTTTTGTTATTTTCACTCCGTTTTCAGATACACAATCGACCCCCAGGACTAGTTGTACGGTTATAGTTTTTGCACATAGAACACGGTAATGCTTGCCGCGCGGTGGAAGTCCACGCGACAATTAATCAATATATTATTTTTCCGTAAGAGCTAGAAGGTTAGATTACGGAAAGCAGCATATTGATTGGCTGTCGCGCGAACTTCTGCCGCGCGACAAGCATTACCGCGTCCTGTGTGTAGGAGCCATTAGGCTGATATTCACGTGTCGTACGACAAGTTTTTGGATACGTTCATTGGTTCACGAACAGAGAACCTAGAAATACTCTATTCGCCAACTAATAAACGTATCCGAAAAACTTGTCGTACGACACGTGAAATAGCACCCTTAGGCGACAATTTCCCGAAAAGTGGAAGGGATAATGTTGGTACCAAGGAAAATCTCTACACGATATAATTTAAAGGTCTGTTCTTTGTGACTGCACTACTGAATTGGTGCAATAAATTGAAGGGAGACAAGTTTCTTCTCACTATAACTTTTTGCATTAGTTCAGCAGTGCAGCAAGAACAGATCATTAAATTATATCGCGTAGAGATTTTCTTTAGTACCAATATTATCCTCTCCACTTCTCGGGAAATTGTCGCCTAAAGTATCTTTAAATAGAAGCGTCCGAGCGTCGAGCGTCGAGCGTTAAAGCGTTAGCCAATCAACGTATCAGGTCCCAGAAGTATACTTGTAGTTTTTGCGGAAAGTGGCACGTTGATTGGCTACCGCTTTAACACTCGACGCTCGATGCTTCCATGTAAAGGCACCTTAACCCAGTCGAACACGCTATAAGGCTGTGTTCGGAAACGTCACTCGAGTACTCTCCCTCTCTTTTTATTTCACTCTTGTATTTCGCTCACTCCAACGGTTATCGTCTAGTAGTGTGCACACAGTGTGTGTTTCCGAACGCAACATAATAGCGAATCGGTTGCTTGCACTAGTGCGCACTAAGTACGCATTAAGGCTTGTTCATAGTATGTTATTATATTTAAAGATTGTCTTAAATAAATTATCAAATATTTTTAACCGTAATGTGATATTTACAACACCCGTACGAATCATTTTATTAGCTAAAATGTTTTTAAATATGTATTTAAGACACGATCTTAAATATAAGAATGTACTGTAAACAAGCCTTAACGTACACTCAGTGCGCACTAGTGTAAGCTGCCGAATTCGCTATAAGAGACTGCGACAAGATACGAAAGATAAATTTGAAGTAATGTAGTATAAGGTAGAATTAGTTACAATTGATACTTTGTGAAAAGTCACGAAAAAGATATTTTCAGAGTTACAACAAAATTGCGAGAACATGCCTCAGGGAAGAAGAAAAACTCCATTCAGTGGCAAAGCTAAGAAGCAGCAGATGCAAGCTAAAAAGCAGCGACAACATCAACAAGTCTTACTTGGTAGGTATTTATTAAAAAATCAGTGACTCCTGATAAGTTTAGTATCACTTTAGTTATCTCCAGCAACTGATCTTTAAAAAGACTATCTTCAACATTTCTGTTCAGAGTAGTCATTAGTAAATTATAACATATGTTGTCATATAACACAGCTAATATGAAATGATATATACATTTATGTTAATAGCAAACCAGGATTTGGATGATGACAATTATTCTAGCAATGCTAGTAGCATGGAATATGAAAGAGAAATGCAGAAAATAAATAAACAACCAAAGGATGGCAAGTCATCCAGAAATAGGTATACACTACAGTTTTTTCAAGAGACCAAAGAAGAATTGCGAAAGCGCAAAGAACAAGCCATAGAAAGCATTGAACCGGTGAGCCTTAGGGATCAAGAAGTATCTGACAATTATTTTCCACCTGAAGTTGACATGCCTAAACGGCCACCATGGGACTTTAATATGACAAAGGATCAATTAGAGATGAGGGAACAGAAATACTTTAGAGTAAGAGATCACAGTTTGATGTTAAGCAAAATTTCAATTCATCTCTACTATGTATTGTTGACTAATAATTTTCTTCTGCTTAGGAATATTTAAATAGCATAAAAGAATTAGGTGACCTTAGTTATTTCGAATTGAATTTGGAAACTTGGCGGCAGTTGTGGAGGGTCTTAGAGATGTCAGATGTTCTGCTGGTTATTGTTGATATTCGCTATCCCGTCCTGATGTTTCCTCCTTATTTATATGATTATGTGTCAAACAAACTGCAGAAAGACATGATCCTGGTGTTGAACAAGGTTGACTTGGCACCACCGGCTTTAGTAGTGGCTTGGAAGGAGTACTTCCATAATCAGTATCCAAAATTGCATGTCCTGATGTTCACATCGTATCCTACTTACAATCTTCGTGATAATATAGACAATGACGAAGGTATAAAAAGGAGACGCCGAAAAGGAAAGTTAAAGATGGCCGCGGAAGGAGCGCAGAAGTTATTGGAAGCCTGCAAGGATATTGTCGCGGACAAGGTTGACTTAAGCTCTTGGCACGACAAGATCCAGGAGGAAATGCATTCTGAGTATGATCTTGACGACATAGATCGTAAGGATAACGTGACAATCGAGAAAGAAGACACCACTTATTTTCAGCATGAAAAGTACAAGAACGGTGTTTTGACGATCGGATGCATCGGAACACCGAATGTCGGGAAGTCGTCGTTAATGAACGCGCTAATGGGTACATAAAAAATTCATCACTTTTCACTTCGCAATAACCTATACGTTATGTCGGCAGTAAATTGTCAACAGATTCGATTAAAATAGTAGATCATAGCCATCTATATTCTCATTAAATATTTGATCTATCAGCAGAGTCTGCAGACTTTTCTTTTTCTTGTGGAATTTTGTGGTGAATGTTTATTTACGGTAATGTTCATTATATTTTGTCAATAAGGTTCGAAGTAAAAGAAAGAAATTAAACGTATCTAGACGCATAAATATATGTCAGTATTCCTGAAAATTTTAACTGCATTTAAATGCTTACAGAACGACGGATGCTGCTCGATTTCTACCGTCATCGTACTCTGTGAGAAGCTTCTATTATATTTCTGTTGGCAAACTGTCGGCAAAAATTTTTAGCAACATAGTTTTTGCAAATTTAGACGTTTAAGTTGCAGCCTGTATTTAGTGTCAAACATAGCTATTTGATTCTCAACTGGAATAAGATCCTGTTACAATTTACTGGACAGATCTTAGAATAACCATGTTTATTTGACGAATACGAATTTAACGAAACTCCGTCGTTTTGTTCAATTGTAGGCAAGAAAGTTGTGAGCGTGTCTCGCACGCCCGGCCATACCAAGCACTTTCAGACTATTTATCTCACGAAGACTGTGTGTCTGTGCGACTGTCCCGGCTTAGTCTTTCCTTCAGTAGTGCCCAAACAATTGCAAATATTAATGGGCTCGTACCCGATCGCCCAGGTCAGAGAACCGTACACTACCGTGAAGTTTTTGGCTGAAAGAATGAATCTGCCGAAGCTGTTGAGAATCCCGCATCCAGAAAACGACGATACATGGTCCGCTATGGATATCTGCGACGGTTGGGCTCTCAAGAGGAGCTTCACGACAGCCCGGACAGCCAGACTGGACACTTACAGAGCGGCAAATTCGGTCCTGCGATTGGCATTAGAGGGAAAGATTTGCCTATACATATATCCACCAAATTGGACTATTCATAAAGGTATTACATCTTGTCTTTCTTCATTAGTCACTTCTAAGCATACGAATAAAATGATTTTTTTCTTGATTTTTCACGTTACGTTTACGGTTATGTAAATATTTATTAATGGGAAAGTCCCTCTTTCAATAACAATAAAAAAAAAAGAAAATTTGTTACTTAAAATATGTATGGAGAGCAAGTAATTTTTATTCTGTTCTTATACTATAGAACAATGGGAAAGTCACGGGGACGTTGAAACAGTGAGGTGGATCCAAGCCAGGAATCAAGTGATGGACGATTGCGACACACAAACTACGTATATATCTTCTTCAGACTATGAAGAAGAGACCTACGACAAACAGGGACATAAAAAAGCTGCCAGAGGCGTAGCGAATAACTCCACAGGATCGTCCAGCGACGAGAACGATATACCGCCCGTAGCTAATAAGTTTGCAGCGTTGTCTACAGAATAGGAAAGATTTAAATAATGCTATATTAATAAGTTAAGAAATAGCTAATTAATAAATTAATAAAAGATAAATGATGACGTTAGTTACACGGAGTGCTTTATTGTGTTACACCTTTCTCGGATGTTTTGTTTATCCGCGCGTTTCTTATAGATATATATATATCTTACTCTTTTTTTCTTTGAATGTACAATGAGCAATTCGATGATGATGGAGAATAGTCGGGTGGTCTTCCTGTGTTTTCGCCCGCGAAACACAATCGTTGCGATGTGACAGAACATTATGAATAAAAATAGATCATCTTGTGTAAGCTGCTACTCTGCTAATTTTTCTTTTTTTTTTTTCGTCATTTTTTCTTCCGTCTACTTCTCCTAAAAAATCACCGTGCATGAGTTATTTACAATGTGGTCCTAGCCTGCGACTATTCTGGTGTATTCACGTTGGTCCACTATGAGCTAATCGAGTAAAGATTTCTTTCCTCTCAGCTATAAGCTACATTGCGAAACGTAACAGCACAGTAATACGACTACATCTTCGTGACTCGTCGGATTGTTTCTCACCGACCGAAAACAACGATTACATTCTACGCTGCGACGAATGTGACGATTTAAGCTCCTAGAATCTTCTTCACGGAGTAGCCCGGTATAGCGTAGAAGAATAAGAGCATAAGTACGATCAGTCCGATCGCTACTATAGCCTTCAATATAGCCCACTTGTAATTGTGCCAAACTATATACTTGATAGACTTCAGCGGGTTGAGAAACCACATGAAAGATGCGTCCGGCCGACTATAAATCAGAGAAATACAGCAATGAAGAATGTATCGAGCATAATAAAAGACCACGAATAAAGTCAGGTTTTATTATTGTGACTATTATACTGACTTCGGCTTGTCTAGTGGATCCGGCTCGTTCCTACCGTAACCGGCAGGATTTTTCTCGGCCTCTTCTTTCGTGAGCAAATGTATCTCAGCCTCGACCTTACCCTGCGCGACGAAATGTACAATTGACGCGTTAAATTTACTCTTTCCAACACATTTAAACTAAATCAAACATAATTACATAACACAGAGTGGTTTAAAGAAACTTCAATATGCTGCAGATTTCGATACCTCTCTCGAGTTATCGCTAAATTATAGTCTAGTTGCAATCGTTTAGCTCACCGTCAATTCCATATCTTCGTTCTCCTTCTTCACGTAGAATGGCCACCAGCCTTTTACACGTTTCTGCTTGAAGATGTTGACCGTTGGCACAGAGCCGTCAGTCTTCAGCATGCTCAACGAGCACAGTTTGCTGTTCTTTGCTCCACGTGGGAAACGATTGAGATCCAGGGTGATCGCACCCAGAAAATCATCCGCCGAGAAGTGGTCCGCGTCCCAGACCTTGAAGTAGCATCAGACTCGTTCTATTCAGCTCTACCTTATCTTCTCTTTCTACCTTTCGAGTAGAATAGAATCGAACGCTCTATTCTGTTCTACCCGTTCTATTTTACTCTACGACACTGTACCGAGACCTTGGCTCGCAGGCGCGATTTTTACCTGCAATTCCAAACGCGCCGGTATCTTGCACTCGGTCTCGTCCCAGCTGAACAGACTCTCCTTCCGATTGATAACGATCTTCTCTTCTGCCACCAGGTAATCGAAAGGATATGTGAAGCGCCAGTTGAAGTTCCCTTCGCCCGTCAATGAACGATAATGGATATCGGTGGATTGACAATCCTCCGGCCCCTTCAGCCATCTATTGCGAATGCGACCGTGAATATTTTTTTAGATATTTTATTTATAAATATATTTATTATTATATTTTATATTTATTTATATTCTTTTCTTCCTCATATATTTACGTCTTTTATATTTTTCAATATATCAGAATAATTCTAAATAATTCTGCGCGAAAATCTAAACGGGAAACTTACCCCTTTACGTAAATGTCGCTCATCTTCTCGCCGGTGAAGAAGGCGTCGTCCTCCAACACGACATCGTCCGTGTTCCATATAATAACCCTCAACTCGTAACTCTTTGGCTTCCTGGGCGAGATTTCGATAGACGGTCCGGGCGAGGGCATGTCCATCGGAAACATGTCCACCCACATCTCCAGTTTACCTTGCTCAATCCCGGGCTTTTCGGGGTTGTAAAGCGGTCGGGTTTCCACGTGTTCGGGCACCAGCGCGCATCCTATTCGCGGGAAAGCGCTCCATTGGTGAAGCACCGCCAACGCGAGATGCTCTTCCATTCCTGGAGAAGTGATAAATGAAAATCACTCATGTGTGTGACGAAATAATTCTAGTCCATCTTTTCGATAACCAGCTTAATTGCAACAATGAGTCCAAATCACACTTAGATACGGGACATTAGGTATTAAACATTGTTATCATCATTGTGTATTAGATCATGTTATAACTGATTGGTAATGTTGTGTAATAGTTAATTGGATGTGAAAGTACCTTTCGTATGCACATAGTATTCCATTTCCTCGTTCGAGAGAGGAAAGGTTTTCCTACCGATTGTGACGCGTCCATGAGAGTAAACCGGTCCATCAACTTTGCCATCCTTGCACAATTTCGAAAGTATCTGTGTCGGTTTCATCGCGTCCCTCCATTTGTTGTAGCCAGATCTGGAGTGGAAATAACAAGTGATCGATCTCGCGTATCGCAATTCATTTACATTCTTGCATTTAACTCGCTTATCCCGCACACGTCGACATGAAAACGTACTCTAGGAGGCATTGCGCGATTATTTTTGCCTAATAGATATATATCGTGCGAAGCGTATGCAATGACGAATAATGTTAATGCAGAAGTAACGTATTAGAGATAACGTGACCTGAAAAGAAAGGGGAAAAAAAGAGTTTAACATAAATACATGTTAGATTAAAGCAGAGTGAGCATTGCAAAAATATTCCGGCACATTAGCTTCAAAGCTCGTTACAAATAAATCTCGACGTGATATTTCGCGCGCTACACGCAGATTCATCAGTTTTAAGCAAATGCTAATTACTGACGGCGGCTTTGAAAATCGCCGTTGCTAGATCACCGAATCGCGTGACACGTCTCGTCAAAGTATGTAGTGGAGGTCTGGAATTTATTCATGGTGCAAGTCGCAATAATTGTTACTCGCTCAACACTTACTCGTCGTATTTCTTCGCAAGGCCGCACGTAGCGCGATGCCTACTATAGAAACGATTCTCCAGATCGATCTTGGTTTCGCCGATCATATCGTCCGTTCCTACCAAGTCCCAGTCGAGAACCTGTACGGTCAGCAGAGAGTCTTGCGGAAAGGTGGCCTCTATCTCGAAACACCTGAAGCATATTGGCGCGATCAAATTTATGAAATACTTTGTCACTAAAACATATAATGGTGTAACATTAATTTTTATTATCGACTACGTTAATACATTAGCCTCAAATCTGTTATGATATTGCAACATAAGTATATTTATTTATCTATTTATGGGGGAAAACAATCTTTGATACTTTGATAATACATTTAAATAAAAAAAAAAAAAAAATGAAGAAGGGAAGAAAGTAATCTATGTTCGCCGAGATAAATGCAACAATGTATACATAACAGACTTAAATAAAGTTAATTTAAGGAAAACAAGTCACATGATCGCGCAGGGTATGATGTGAGTATACGTATACGTGATGTATAATATTATTAATAATATAGACACGAAGTGCACACGTACTTGCCAAAAACAGGATTCAGTTGCTTCGACACGTAGTTTTCTTTGTCGCTGATCCTCTTGCCTCCCAATTGTAAGACCACGTAGGGATCGGCCTTTCCGTTCAGGTCGCAAGGGTGCAAGTCATTAGCTTTGACGATATACACTCGCACCAGGACGTGAATAGGCTCGTTGGATGGAACGCCTTGGAAGAAGCCGTACTGCGGATCGAAGCCCATGACGGTGTGATCCACCAGATCCTTGGGCAAGGGCCATTTGTACACCTTCAGCGCGCCCTTGAAGCTACCGACGATTCTCGACTCGTCCTCGGTCTCGTCGCCGGTCTTCTTGCCACGATATAGCTCGAAGGTGTGCAGCCACTCCTTGAACTGCTCGAACTCGGGCTGCGCCTCCAGCTCATTGGGGTAAATCTTGAGGAGCGCAGTCTTCCTGGTCTTGCGCGCGCTGTGCTTCGGGCTCAGCTTCGAGACGAACTTAGCCGCGTTCGCCGTTGATTTCAAGCCAAACAGCTTCTTCGTAGTATTTATGCCGGGACTCTTCTCGGCAGGTGAGCCGGCAGGCAGATGGCCCTGCGCGACGGCCTCGTCTAAGAGCATCGTCAGCGTACCGTTCGCCTGGTTTTGGAATATGGATTTCTCCTTGCGCAACTCCTTGTTCTCCTCGATCATCGCCTCCACGGACGCGAAGTACTTCGTCCACCAGTCCTGGCAGCCGTCGCCGTCTTCTAACATGTTCAAATCGCCTGAAAATACAGCGGCTTGAAGGTCTGTATATTTGGTTCACTCTCAATTTTAATCAAGTAAATATTTTGCTGTCGTTTGATCAAACAAATAATTGAGGATATCTTTCGCACACATACCCATGCTGTTGTCGTTGGCCAAGCTCTGCTTCCTGCGTAAATTCTGCTCGGTCTTGTCCTTCTTTGTAGGTCCGCATCCTAGCTCGAATCCGAGGGTGATGATGGTGTCGCCGTTATTAGATTCCAAGTCGGTTAGTGATTCCGGTAACGACGTTTGTTGATATTTCGACTTAGACTGATCGAGGGCTGCATCGAAAGTTTTTTAATTGAAGAGGTGGAAAACTCTGTGAACTTTAGGCGCGCAATCTCGAAACTCAACATTAATAGAATATTCTATATTCTATATTCTATATTCAGTATTCTTAGTATATTCTATATATTTTGCTAATTAATTGACAGAATATTCTCTATCAATTACAGAATATTTTATATATATATATTTTTTTTTAAGGTGTTTACATAATTACCTGTACACTGTAGCTGATACAAGCTCTTCTTTCTCTCCTGAGCATCCTTCGCTCTCTTCGTCAGAGGATAGTACATGTACTTGTGAATCGAATTGATGGTGTGAGTGCCGACGAGAGTGTATCTGCCGAAACTTCGACAGTCCACCGCCCTTATCGTCAACGGCGGTCGATAGAGCTCTTGCTCGGGAAGTTCCAGTTCCAGAAACTTGATGGGCGTGTTGAAATTTGGATTCTTCTTCGCGTTCGCGATCACGGACGAGTAAAGAATGTGACCGGCACACTCGACGTCCACGCGAGGCTTGTCGACCGTTAGGAGATGAATTCGCTTCAGATCCCGCAAACCCCAGAAGAGCACCTCGATTCTGAAATCATCCGTGACGCACGATCGTGAGACCCTCCGGCCCGCTCACTTCTAACTTTCGCGAGGATCGCCGAAGTTACCGGTATTTCGACAAAGTTGGCCGGATCCCAACGGGCACCGGAAGAATTGGTCCCTGATCTTGGCCGGAGCCCGACATCTGAGATCCACAGCTAGGGTCCTTGGGATCCGGCAAAGTAGGGAATCCGAAGTCCTTTGTGGATGGATATTCCAGTAATTCGAACACCGCCAAAAGTTCGCCCGCTCTCGAGGCTCCTCTCGTTACCTCGTACCATTCCAAGGACGGCGGATACTGCGGGGGAGTGTAGGACTCGGAGGCAAGCTTGACGTGAGGCCGCGCGACCGCCCGGCCAATGTATTCCGACTTTCCCTGAAAAGTCACATGGAAATTCCGGCGCGAACCAGTTACCAAGTGTCGCTGTTCGACCGTGTATCTCATGAGGATGCGAGGAAAGAGCGTGACGCGGTGTCGTTTAAATCCAATCGATCTGAACTCGCTTACGGTCAAAATATCCATAGCATCATGAGGAAGCGTTAAAGGTCGAAATTATGCAAGGTAGGATAAATAGGTGGATATTTTTTACTCTGGAGTAAAATCCCTTTGGTCACACAATACTTAAATACAAGAAATGAGGTTCACAATTAAAGTGCCATTATGAGAAAAATTTAGCTAAAGTGAAAGAATTTTAGATAAAGTTATGCTTTAAGTCAATCGATAAGTAAGTAAATAAGTAAATGAGCCATAAACTCAACCGTAAATTCAGCTATAAATTTAGCTATAAATAAGCCATAAATTTAGCCATAAATTCAGTAATAAATTTAGTAATTTAAAATTAGATATATATGTATACTAAGTAAAGTAGATATGAAAAAATTTCGTTTGATAAATAATTAGAAAGTGTAATGATGCACACGTGAGTCTAGAGGGAGAAAGAGAGAAATAGATAGATAGAGATAGAGAGAAAAATATTGAAATTTAGTGCCATTAAGAAATTCGGGTGCTGGGCCAAGTGTGTGTCATGCGTGTCTCCAGTGCGAGTAGTCGAGTCGTGTACGACACGCGTCGTGTACGATCAACTGCACAGATCAACGTCGATCCGGTATAAATGTCAATATGTTGTATACAAACTGTCAAAGCAGAGACCTCATGCAGTATTATGTCCATAGTTACAACATGACTCTGCAAAAAGAACGATTATGAAATGAAAGAGGTTGCAATGCCGTCTATTAGCGTCTATTCGCGCTCAATCACAATTCCAATTAAAATCAAACATGACGCCGATAAGAAATCAAACACAATTCAACGCCATCGCATCCATACATCCCGCGATTTGCGCGAAGAGCTATTCGAGCTTTACTAAGGTAAACGTACCGAATTACGCCACTCTAAGCAAAGACTAATTTTTAAGAGATTATCTAAAAAAAAATAAAGTGATACTGTAGGTAAGACTATAAATTTAATGTTAATATTGTAAAATATATATATAGCAAAAAAACATATAAACTTGAATATAAATAAAATTATTTATATGTACACAAGAATTAAATGTAAACTGTAAATGTCCCGAATTACGCCCACTGAAATTATTGGATGTCCTGATTTACGTCATTAATATTCCCAAATGACGCCACTTTATTTAATCTGTTTTCAATATAGATAATTGTAGTAAAGAAAATGAAATTTTTACACTTCTGTTATCTATTCAAATATATTTATTAATTCAACATAATTATTCATAAATAATTTAAAACCTAAATAAAACAACACAAATAAATACTAAAAAATAAATACTAATGAATAAATACTAATAAATACTAATAAATATTATAATACTAATAAATATTATAAATATACTAATAAATATTATAATACTATTAAATAAATACTAAAAAATAAATACTAATGAATAAATACTAATAAATACTAATAAATATTATAATACTAATAAATATTATAAATATACTAATAAATATTATAAATATACTAATAAATATTATAATACTATTAAATAAATACTAAAAAATAAATACTAATGAATAAATACTAATAAATACTAATAAATATTATAATACTAATAAATATTATAAATATACTAATAAATATTATAAATATACTAATAAATATTATAATACTATTAAATAAATACTAAAAAATAAATACTAATGAATAAATACTAATAAATACTAATAAATATTAATAAATACTAATAAATAAATACTATGAATGAATGAAATTAATATATTCTCTCATATATATAAAACTTTTCTATTTTAAAATAGAATTGATGGGACTATTGAAAATAACGTTATATTTTCATATACTTATTTTGATGGAGCCATTTGATATACTTTTTTTCACAATTCTTGTTTTCTGACAATTCTTTGACACTTTTAATCAGCTGTGTTTTATTATGCGCACAAAACAAGTTAAGGTGGCGTTATTCGGGTCAGTGGCGTCATTCGGTACTTTTACTTGATCTCGGCAGGCAAAGTAGATGAGTTTGAAAACAAAAGTAAACGTACAATCCCTAACACGTCTCGTTGTACCATAGTGGGTTGCAAAACGGTTTAGATACAATGAAGTTCGGACTTCAGTAAACTGCTGATTTCTTGACGAGTAATTATTTCTTGAGAGAATTATATTATTGGCGAGTAATTATACTATGAATTATTATTATTATTAACATCATTATTAGTATCACTATTATTTGTTATTATTACTTAGTGTTTCAATTATATTACTGTTGCGTAATAATTCTCAAGTTGGACAGTTTGGCGTGCCCCTCACTTCATTGTATCTAACCATTTTACAACTCTCACTGTACTTAGTCTCGACGGATTCTGGATGGATTTTTTTCTCGAAAGTGAGAGTAATAAGATAATATTATTATTAATTAACATAAATAATAAACTAATTAACAATAATAATAACGCGAAGAGGATGCCGCTAAGTCGAGAACCAAAGATGCACACGAAATGGAAGAAAAGCGCAAACTCGACTCACCACTTTGTCCTGATCGAACAACTCGATGACGACGGACGATGGGTCCTTCTTAATCTCCTCGGCGGTACCGTAAATCAGGATATCGTCGAACAACAGCAGCTCGTCCCATGTCGGACTGAGCGTCTCGTCGATCACCTGGGTGCACTTACAAAACTCACCGCAGATCACCCTCGCGAAGGGATCGGACAGGCCGGACGCGTCGCTGCCGATCAACGACCTCGCTTGGTACATGTGGGCCCGCAATTGGAATTTCTACCGACCAATTAAAAATAGTGGCTGACATTATGCGTTTATTCGTGGTCGCGGCTAAGATTTTTTGCACACAAACTGTCGCAACTGTAAACTTGAATAAAAAAGAAATAGAGTTCTTATGATACACAATGAAATTAATAGAGTAAGCAGTAGATTAGTTTAATCAGTAAATCTAAGGTGAAAAATCAATCGAGGTATTACTTAAGGATTGCCTTGTCTAGTGAAAAAGTAATCGTGTGATTAAAGTGTTTGAGTGTAACAAAGGTCTCACAGTTTACGGTCAAATTTACTGCCAGATCTATTTTTTTATGGAGTGCACAAAACTAAAGCAATATCCTCAGCTGAAGTTTATGTTTTAAGTTTACGGCAGCTTGCTGTGCGAAAGCCCTTTCTCGTAAGAATACGCACGTGTTTCTGAGTGTAGTGGATTACGGCAGGTGGCAATGCGCGTGGTCTGTCCACGTTTCTCAGCTCGTTGCTGACCTCATATCCCTTCGGTAGGCCTTGGATGAAGTACTTCTTGTGCTTCAGCATTCCTAGCCACATGTAAACTTGCAGCTTAGTCTGAATCGCCCACCCCGCCGGTCCGAATCTCTTCTTGCCTGGAAGCTGTGCATAGAAACCGCTCGAATAGCGCGAGATCGTTTGTCGATTCGAATCAAAAGTATAAATCGGTTAGTTGATTGGAAAGTAACATTACAAATCATTTCTTTTCAGTAATACGACATAATAATGATTTTATTTTTCTTAAATCAAATAACGATTTTCTTTATTTTTTTTTTCTTACCCAGACAGCACAGAATGTCCCAGAATCATTCTGAACGTGTCCAAAATGTCTTGAGGAATGTTTTAGGATGTCTGAGTAAATAACAACAACGAACACAATCGTTGCTATTCACGTTATTTCATCGAAAAAAAAAGAAAGAAAGAAAACTTTGACTTGATGAAAATTGTTGGTAACGGAAACCGTTATCTTTAGAGTCGCAAATACAGCGATCAAAATGACAGAGTTATTTCTCGAAATAAGTCATAGTAACGGCAATAAGATATTTCTTTCAGTGATCAACGAGTGACGTTAAAATCATGAATTACTTTTAGAGAAGATCGCTTTCTTTTAACTAAATATTCTAACTACCTTGAGGAACATAGTCTGCACTTTGCCGCAATGCCGGCCACATTCCTCGTCAACCACCGAGTAGATGAGCTCCCGACCAGGTATCCTCTGGTAGGCCAGTCGTCGTCCGGAGCTGATCACCCAGATGAACACGTCCGGCAAGGAGTCTTGCGGCTGCAAGAGAAAAACCGGCAATTCGATTTCGTGAAGCGAGCACGCGCTGAATCGTCTGAACGTGCGCTACTAACATCCTCCACGAGAAACTTCAGTTTCTGCAAGTAACTGTGCGCTGTCTTCAGCCGTTCCTTGAAGCTGCTCTTGGTCACGAGCGCCTTGAGGTTGCGCGACAGGATCCCGATGCTTTCGAGCTCCCGCTGGCACAATTTCGTGCGCTCCTTGTCCAACTTTGTCTTCCCCACACCGGGACCAGTCACGCTGGACTTGCTGATGCTGACGTAGCGATTGCAGTTGACGCTCAATTCCTCGAGGGTGGTCTTCAAGAGTTTCTCGCACGTCGAGTCCTCCAAATGCGATTGAACCTCCGACAACCCCTCTTCCTAGAATAGAAGAGAAGCCGCGTCGATTTTATGCAAATCCACTTTGCTGCGGTTATCTCGATCCCCGTGTACCACTTTGATCCGACAACAACCGTGCTAGTACGAACGATCCAACTTTCCCTCTCCGGGGAAAACAGATATACGACAATACAACCGTTCGAATTGACAAAATAACGCGGAATGATGGATGAATGTACGATAAATGGTCTCTCATAGTTCGTCGAGTTGTTCGTTTTTCAACACGTTCCGGGTCGAAACTGTAATGTTTCATTCAAACTTAAAATATATACTAAAATATATACTAAAATATATACTATAATATATAGTATATAGTATATACTATAATATATAGTTAATAAATATACTATTATATAGTAATATTTTTCAATATGATACTCATTGAAACGGAAATTCTTATGAAGGGCTACTAAATAAAGATTTTACAAAAGTACCGCATTTCATAACCCCATAAATAAGGAAACCAACATTTTCGATCATCAACGCTTCAGGAATTAAAGATATCTATTCACGTCTTCAATTCGCGATATTTGAGAAACATGTTAATTACTAAATACGCGAATTATCTTGGAAACAATTCTCTGTTCCATACGTCGATCACAAGTTAAGTTCCGTGGAAATTTCTTTCTTTTACGGAAATACTTTCTATTGTGAGTTTAGCTGAGAATAATAAATATCCATAAATTAATTTAAAAATGGCGTCGACTTTGTCACTGTCATTGTGCGGCAGTCAAAGCGTTAAGCTGCGAGTTCTCACCAGCTTATCGACGATTTTGCCTATTATATTGCTGTTATACATTCGACGCCTGTAATCCGGCCAAATACTCCTCACATGGAGACACGGCTTATCGTCCCAGTATGGTAAGAAATAATAAATCTTATCGTGCGTCATCGGCTTATTAGCCGGCGTGGTGCTCTGCCAAGAGCCGCTGAGTACTTCCTGTAGGTCATCTTCCTCCGTGATCGCGCCACCCTTCGACCCCATCTCGCACATCTACGACAGGCGAAACAGATTTCTCTAACGACGAAATTGGAAGTCTCTCTCTCTCTCTCTCTCTCTCTCTCTCTCTCTCTCTCTCTCTCTCTCTCTCTCAAAGAAATTTCTCTCTTCTTTCTGTTCGTCGCAAATTCTCAAAGAAGGACTTTTCCAAGTAAAGTTTGCCCCGATTGAGAAATTCTTCCGAAGAAACAGCTTTGTTAATTAGACGAGATTCCTCACCTTGAAACTCTCGTTGTGACCGTCGAGAGCGTTGCCGGCGTTGCCGATTGAAATTTCAAAGTACATCGGCTTGTCGCCGAGCTTCTTGTCGATCATCGTGGCATCCATGATCGTCGCGAACAAGAAGAACTCCTCGTTCCTCGCGTACGCGGTCTCGTTGATCGGCACTGTCGGCTCCATCTCGACCTCCGACGGTGCCATCTCTACGTTGTCGCTGATCTCGGTGCGAATCGCGATCAATAGCCTAATAATGCAATTGTCTATCTTTTATTAGAGAATATATCCAAGTATAACGACGGAAACTCGCTAGGCTTTTTTCGCCAGCTTTGCCGTTCCAAGAGCCAGCGGATTTCCGCGTTCTAATAACGATGATGTCGCGACCTTGCTCTGTAGGAGATCCCCTCGCCCAGGCCGGTGTTCAACGTCGAGTGCTCATCTATGAGACTGTAATCTCTGATGCTGCCATAAAGGTGGATAAACGCCGGGCCGAAAGTGGGCAGAAAGCCCTTCTCGCCGTCGTTACTTATCTGCTTCAGGTCGACGAAGTGTGTGCCGATAACGGTGGCGTGCACGGGGTCATTGTCGCACAGCTGTATTTTTATCCTCTGGCAAAGCGGCGGAAACATCTCGGTGAAAACGATCTGCTCGTTCCAAACCGGGGCGTAGCTGTGCCTCTTCACGCTGGTTTTCCCCTGAAGCACCATAAACAGAAAAATGACTGCATCGTCGCCGTATGCGAAGTCTAGTACACTTGACAATGTCGTCGATAGCGTCTCACACGGCGAAAACGCAACCATTTCGAACTAATAGAATTGCCCTCTTCAGCAAACGTATACTTTCGAGCGAGCGAGCGAGAGTTAATCGTTAAATCGAATTCGCGTCAATCTTACGCTCAGCCCGGCGAAGGACACTTGGACGTATGGATCCACCAGGTCCTTCACTTCCCCCGTGAAAGCCTTTTTCACGTTCGCCATGATACTGCTGTTCATCTTCGGCAGACCATCGGCTCTGTAAACCTTCACCACGAATCGGGCGCGCTGTCTTTCAATCGGCACGCCGTCCGGCAATAAAAGATTTCCTTCGATGTCGTCCTCGTCCTTTTCGCTCTTTGGAGGTATCTTCACGGTATCGCCTTTGCCGATGACGCTAACGTCGCACTTTAAGTAGCCCTTGGGCCCTCCAGCCACGTCATCCGGATCGGTGAGCAAGGCCCATTTGTGATAGAATTGATGATCTACGAATAGAGATCACTGCCACTCATCTAAGACACGCGACGATTTTGCGAAGGGGAAGAGACATAGAAAGAGAAACAGGGAAAAAAAGAGAGAAAGAATAAGAGAGAGAGAGAGAGAGAAAGATAATAGTTGACACTTAACTCGAGGAGTTCACTCTAAAGGAGCGAGCGGGAATAATGATATTACTTAGTCTTTTCCTCATTGCATACACTCCTTCAAGCGGACTCCTCGATTTGCGATTCACATTTACGATCATAAGAACAGTCACGGAATATAGTCAAGGGAAATAGCTGAGAATTGAAAAGAAATCTGCAGAAAGCCACTCGAGGGCTTTGCTTCTCACAAAGAAACCCACAACAGCGTTTCTCTCTGATTTCGATATGTGCGTTTTAGATACGCAGTAGCCTAAAATAAGAGTTATTTGTCGTTATAAGTGCTCAATCGCAAAACTTAGGAAGTGAAATGCAACGACTTATTAGTTAGGAGGATTTATTACGATTTGTTTTAGCAGCAAACCCGAGAGGTTGTACAACATTTTTAGAATTTCGTTTGATTTATTAAAGTTACAGATGGATGGAAATTGTGTTTTAAGTAGCTCTGATTAAGTCTCTTCTAGACGGAGGAGTATATTCTCTTCTAGTGAGGAATATATTCGTATTCTCAGAGGGCATCTTAACTCTGAAAAATCTTTGTCGAATTTCGCGATGTTTGGAAAAATTTTATTACCGGTAAATATTTCGCGACTCCACGCGAAATATTCCTTTGCTTCTGTGAATCGTCCTACGTAGAGGTCGCTTGCTATTTCTTTATAGATATTATCGACTAGTGGGTTTGTAATTGCGTTATATAACGTAGTTCCATAAACTCAAAAATATTTTTATTTCTGATATTTTTATTTTTTTATTTTTCGTTCTCTTTCATACACACACACATGACCTCTACGTGCTTATATGTCTACACTATCGGCTTCTGAGGAATTGAATTTTAAATTTTATTTTGCGATAGATTTTGTTATTTCGCGATATGCATGCGGTGAATGGTTGAGTTCTTCGAAATTCTTTTTAAAACGTGTTTATTGTGTGAAAATGTGTTTCACTGTTTATGTAAAGTTCTGTTTCTTCGAACTCTTTGTATTTCTTTAAGTTCTTTTATTCATTGTTTCTTCTCTTATTCAACGGAAATGGGTTTGTTTTCTTGTCATGGAGAGCTATAAGTCGAATAAAAATATTTTAACTTTAACGCGTAATTCACAAGACACAACAACATCATACAATGTAAATATCTCGTTTCATATAGATTACTTTCAAACGTATTCTTGGAAAAGTCAAGGAATCAAGGAAATATCTGTAGCGTGATAATTGAAGATTACGCGTAGAATATTCCATCTTAATTGGAAAATTATACGCAATTCAAAGTAAGCAAGTTTAAATAATTATTATGCAAAAAGAGAAGATAGAAAAAAAGCAGTCTAGAATATATTACATATATATATATTCTGTACTGTAATATTAATGTATGCATTGACGTAATAGCGCATCTGTTTATATTCTTCATTATGTAAAATTTAATATTGCAGTTCAATATTGCAGTAATATTAAAATTTAATGTTGCAATAAATAGAAAATCTAATATGTAATTCCAAAAGAAAGACAGGTGAAACAAGAACAATTTTGTGTACAATATAATGTCGTCGGTAAATATAACGATTTATTAGTTAGAAAAATTTAATGGATACTACATAGAATGTCGTAAATACATTAATGCGACAAGTCAAGTTTATACGTTTATTCCGTAATATAAAATTACTCTTTATTATTTCACGTACAATTACATTATTTCACAATTACAGCAAAGATGATTTTGTCCCATATCTATTCAAACACATGTTACGTAATTATAAATGTAACATATGTTATGTAATTATAAGTGTAACGGAAAAATATTTTCAGTTCGTGCAACTGAATAGAGGTCAGACGGAAAACTTATTGACGAGAAATATTATTTCTATCACTATGACCAAAAGCGTTCGTCTGAATATTCAGCTGTATTAAAACTCGATTGAGATAATTAAGAGCAATTGACTGAGTGTAAACTTCCAACAGGACTCTTTTTGTTCCTACAACCGAATTTCTCATCTGGTCTCCAAATAACAAAAAATTCAGTAACAGTAACGGAATTTTCCGCGCACGATAAGGGAGTCCCCAAAAATTCAACATGCCAAGAAAAATTTAGAAGAAACATTGTGAAGTACATCTGAAGCCAAAACTCTTTCGTGTATGATATTTCTTCTCATTCTTTTTTAGATATTTGCCCAGAAACATAAAAAACAAATTCTCTCTCAAAAGAAGATTATGCATTCCTAAACTTGCGATTAAGCACTTACTTTACTTAAGGAGATACTCGTATCTTATTTTGTTCCAAGTTGCAATGTATCCAACGAAAAAAAAAAATTAGCTGAGGACATCATTTGAATTTCTTTGTTAGAGCGCGAAATGGCGGAAAGAATAATCCGACACCTCTTACTTGTCTTGTTGCTCCGCTCTCGTTTCTTTCTGCAGAGTGCGTTTTAATTGAGGGATTCCAACACCAAAGTAATATAAATGACTTCCTCGTGTACTCGGTCATTTTTATTACTTCTCGTGGAATGTTTGATGAATACCTCATCCAAAAGCCACGCGTCTCACTCGCGCATTGTAATCTCGTAGGAAAAATATGGGGCCATGAATAGACAAGTGTGTAGGATTAAAACCCATGCGCGGTCATTTTATATTATTGCACGCGCTGTAATAATATTATTGCGCGGCGCTCGTGATGAATTAATTGCAAAACGTCCTCGTGAATATATAAACGAACTGCAGTTATTTATAACATTAGACGATGGAGCGTGAGAATATTACGCAATTTCGATGTAATTGAACCATAAACGGTTACGTGGCGCCTCTTACGATCCAATCGACTGAACTTTGCTCGAGACCTTCAGCCGTGATGTAAAATTAGTTTAAAGAAGTTTATTCAAGTATCGATTTACAATCCCGCGTATAGTATCACATACAATATAGCACAAATAAAACGAAAAATTGAAAGCGGGTTACATAAAGCGAACCATTTTTAAAGACAAGCCGTACAGAGTGTCTCGAAATCAGCGGATAGACCTTTGCGGGAGAAAAACGAGATGCATTGTGAAAGAAAAAATAAAAACAATAATAACTTAAGAAATGAGAATATTTGGAGGATTAGATCTCGGCTATCCACGCGTGTTCAATCGAACCGTTCGTCAGGCTAATCGTTTTAGAAGCAATCGATGCGCTCAGCCCGACCAAAAGTTCATTCGGCCACGAACGATTCATTAGCCCGACGGGAGAGCCGTAAAATTTGCAACCGTGCCACGCGGGACTTTAACGCGCGCGAGGACGCGTGGGTCAGGATCAGCTCGGGCGTACACGGAACGTAGACACATGCGCGGGAATATAATGTGTGTGAAGGTGAAAAGCCTAGCACATGCGAACACGATTCGCGATAAAAATAGCACGTCCAGTCCTCGTAAACGAATGTCAGACACGACGACGGACGTTTCTCCAACACTCCCGCCGTCGTTTTTTACCTAACAATCCCCTCCTTGGTGTTGATCGACGAGTCAATCAATCGGTCGGACAGTCGGTTGGTCGATCAATCGATCGATTGATCGATCGCGTACATGAATTATGTGCGGGATTAAAATAAGGAAGCACGTTTCAGAAAAGCCGAGGCGCTCCGCGCTGAACCGACAAGATAAAGTTTTCCGTGACGTGGGGGATTACTTGCCAAGTCTTTCAAATATCGTTCTGTTCGCGAATAGGTGCCTGTTACTTGCTTATCGTTATTCACAAGAGCTCCGTTGTTATATACGACTATGTGGATACTTCTCGCACAATAAATATTCCGAGAATGACGAGATATGTTCTTTAAAATCAACACATTTAAGTTCTCACCTCTCGAGGCCATTTGCTAATAATGTCCTTTACAATCGACAATAACAACGCGAGAGTTCTCCAAAAAAAAAAACCAAAAAAGAGAAACGCGAGTTAAAGACTAAAATTGCCGAATTACTATGACAACAAACAGATTGTTGTGTTAACCCTTTAATTGCGACGCGCTTTGATACGAGCCCTTCATTATATACGCGCAATACTTGCAAATTAATGGCTACAGAATACTAATCAGTCAGCTCGTACTCCCAGTACAGGAGTTGGAGGTGGTTATTCCAAGCGAGATATAAGGAAGTAAATAGACTATGTTTATAAATCGAAATTGTCAACGATGGTCGAGATGTTATCAACAATAAAATACGTTATATCGATCGAGATTTACTAAGCTTGTGTGTGGACGCTTTTCATGCATATTAATGAAAACACGAGGGTGTATGTTGTACATCTTTCGCAGCTAAGGGGCTAAAATTATTGTTAACGTGTAAGTTACATCGAAAATAACGTGTAATGCAAGTTAGACTTTGAGCTCTTTGAGAGACGCCATGATCTGATCATAAGGCGGCAAGTATCGCGCGTACCCACTGAAAATTCCTTGAGTTACAATCGCGAGAGGGAGAACTCGAGAGTTAGGAGAAATTTTGCGTTAGACGATGCTACTTTGTAACGAATTTTGTCTCGTCTCCAAGTTGTCGCGCAGAAAGACTTTCTCTCGAGGATCACGGGACTCCCTTCAAAACTCGCAGGCAAAGTGCAAGAAGTGGATGACACAGTAAGGGAAAAAGACTCTTTGTTGTCGGTAACGAAAAGAGAAACACACACGGCACTGTTACATACCGAGTCTCATACTCGGTGCACGCCTAAGAATTTAATCCACGATAGACGGCGACAGACGTTATAGAGTAAGACGTTATAGAGTAGACGCATTAGCGCGCGTGGATATGATTTTCCTCTTGCCTTAATCGGCCGCGCGCTAATGCTAAAGAGCGTAACTTTGAAGCCTCTTAACTCGAAAAGTACTTAACGAAAAAATACTTAAGTATAGTGTTTTGGAAAGCTCTCGAGATAAGCTACAAGAATATACAATAAAAAATGGGGGTATCCATTTAAAAACATCATTGTGACCTTGACCTGATCTTTATGACGCAACTCAAGGTCAAACTGCTAATATCATAAAATAGATCTTTTTAAACCCTACAACTTTTGTATTTAACATTTTTTTATACAACGCTTTGTTTTCGAGATATTCAGGTGTTCCGGTATATAATATTCACCCTGTATAATCGAAACGAACGCATTAAAAAATAATCAGTTTGCGTACACACATTTGTGTTTTTAAGAGGTATTGTGTCGATTTACAATTCAAATGCAAGATTCGTGCTTCCTTTTTCTTTTTTATGGACATAATCAAGATATCATGAATATGTTATACGCCTTAAATATTCTCGAATATCGCGAATATGCCACCATTTTCAGGGAACGCGTGTTTCGTAATTTGCATACTAGACACGCACGCAATTTCTTCGCGCGACCGTCGAGTCACGGAATAAAATTCCTAAGTGTGCACCGAGCATTAGAATCGTCTCTGGTCTCTTCGGACGTTGCGAAACCTGTACCTGGTTGTGCCCATACCGTCGCGATGTCTAACTTAAAGATGCCCAGCGTTAGATTAGCGCGCAAGAGATTCCGCGATTGCTGCACCTGCGTATTACCAAAAGATGTGCTGTTTGAGCGATCTTCTATTTCATCGCACGCTTGGAATTTTCATCTCGAGCGTCAAGCGCCTGAGTTGAACGTAACTCCCGGCGGAATTTAAACGCCCTCTCTCCCGTAAGTCTTCCTCGACAATCGATACTCGTGTAAATGCCGAGGCGAGTAATAATCGCGGGTTGACAAAGGCGCGACGGAATATCGCAATTATCGCGCTAATAATTATATCTCGAATATATATCTGTTCAAGCATGTCAATGAACAAATTTAAATTTCTGCCGCTACGAAAAGCTTGAGAAGACACGTAACAATCGATAGGGAAACTTACCGAAAGCGTGATGATCTTGTCGAAGAGCATGACGGGCGGCATGTGGAAATCGAAGACAAAATACTGAAACAAGATGTACGAAAGTATATGAATCGGCTAACATGCGCGCGCGAAAGAGAAAAAAGAGAGGAATGGGAACAAGCAGATACATAAGATCCAAATATATTAGCGAAGGAATTTCTTGAGGAAGACTCTTTGTCTCTAATTCTATTCGGGACTTTAAACCGAATCAGTTATGGAAAGTTATCTAAGTATATCCCGGGTATTTCTCAAATTAACCAGATACTCGTGCGAGTAGCCATTTGGTTATTTCGGATATTACTTGGGGATCTGGAAATAATTAGGGACTTAAGCGCCGAGAACTATAAGCGTATTACCCAACTGAGTCAACCTTTTCGGCTTTACACATGCGACGAATACACACGCGTGTGATATATGCAGTGCAAATTTTGCATATAAATATGAAATGCAAACGAATCCAAAATTTTTTGCGAATATGCCACTCATAATAAAACCGAATATTTATGCATGTTTTTTCAAAGTTTGTAAACGAGTTTGGCCAATATGGGATATTTCGTGACTGCACTATTATTTGGCTATTATGAGATAATTCGAAAATTAAGTACCGTAAACTAGAGTATCTCAATTTTACTAAGTTAGATTGGCTTTTTCGATTAATATTCAGGCGAAATCTGTGAAGTGTGGTCGAAATTCCATGTGTGAATATAAAACGCACATGAATCTAAAACTTTTAGACATGCCACTCGTAATAAAGCCGAAAGTTTTCACATGTTTTTTCAAAATTTCCAGACGCATGTTGTCATATCGAATATTTCCCGGGTGCGCATTTATTTGGCTCTTTTGAAATTATTCGAATAACTGTCGGAAAGTGTTGTCCAACTAAATTCAACCGGTTAATATTCCCGGCTGAAATTCACGTGAATGATATTACGCAATGGAAAAGTTCCATATTTGAACATAAAACGCTTATTAATCTAAAACTACCCGTTGAAAATTACCCGTTGTTCATACAAGCTTTTGCAAAATTGCTAGATACAAACGCAATTATCAACGACTTTGGATACTCGAGGCTACTCGGATATTACCCGTTTTATCATCACCAACTTTTGATTAATGAAAGCCGAGTAATAGCCGCGAAGTTGGGTAATAACAAGTGATTAGCCGGGCAGCCGGTTATGGTAGCCATTTAATTTACATCGACAGCGTCAACTCCAACATATCCAAGTTCGCTGAATTCATCGAATTGCGCTTGCGGAATCCTGTTCGCGCGAACTTTCGCCATCTCGGTTTCTTACTTCATTGTAGTACGGACAGTTAGTGGACTCTTTGACGCTCGTGTATTTGCGCTGATCGCCGACCTGCACGCACACCACCGGATCCATATTGAGTCCGGCGAGTTGCCTCGCCTCGATAATCGTGACGCACACCTGGTAGTCCTGCGCCTTCAAGGCGCTGTGCCCGGTGTCGCCGGTCTGTAAGACGAAAGAAACGTGTGCCATCTCCAGGGCGACGAATAAAAAGAGGCAACATTGTGCTCGAAGATCGCTGGGATCTTTGCCTCCTGATGAACGGCTTTACCTGTCGCGGTGGACGCGCCTAACGAGCGGCGCGCCAAGTTAAAGAACGACAGATCGATGTGACATCGAGTCGCGGCGCGATATTTAACGGGACAGGAGTACCTCGTTTCTCCACTACTCTGTTACCGCATGAGCGTTAACATTTTACGAGCTGCACAATAGAGCGCCGTCGTAAAAGGCGGAGACGGTGACGCGTAAAAATTACGTTCATCTCCTTCGCTGCGCTATTTACTCTTGACCTCCTCGGAACCGCTCAATGTCAATTTCTTTATTCATAGACGACCATAGCACTTATGGAGATCGAGCCGTCCGCGAGAAACACATTAAACGCTCGATGTTTATGTACTGTCGTTAACGCTTAATGCACGAATCGCGATATGAGATTTTTTTTCAACACTACCAGGGGTAGTGTGCGGTTCTTTATAGAAACGGGCTATGTCCTCGCAAGCGTAAAATAATATGGTTTATTAATTGTCATACGGGGAGATATTAACCTTGGGCTTTGGTCTCTTGGCCGGCTTTAGTGCGGTTTCCTCCTGCTCGTGGTTAGCACTCAGCTGACTGTCGTTATCGGAAGTGTTTGTTTCGAGGGAAGTCAGAGAATTTGTTCGCGACGGCTCGTTCGAAGTTGGGCAGCTGGAGTCCCGTCTGTCGAGGAGGTCCTTCGTCTCTGAATTGCTGTCGCAGGAGCGTGCCCGCGGCGGTCTCTGCTTCCCCAGTTTCAGGAACGATCGCATGCTCCTCAAAGTGGTACTCCTATAGAGGAAGCCATAAAGGGATGTTATCAGCGGGAGCAATTTCTTCTCGAAAAGTAATTCTCACCATATTACATGAAGACCTTCAAGAGTATGAGCAGCGAGATGCTCTCTTAAGAATGGGTTATCGTTCGGCGCACGCGGTATCGATCGGAAAGTATAATTCCGCGCAGGTTCGCCGCGTTCTGCTATCGAATCTTATTTGGCGGGTTTTTAAATTTCAACGACGATTGTTTACCGTCTCGTGTAACTTATATTGGAAAATAGAAAGGAAGATGGAAAGATATTTAGATCAGATATTTTGAAGATCGTCTTCTCTGGTCGAGAGGATTCGACATCATTAATATCGTTGTCTTATTATCTCTTCTTATATTTCAGAGATATACAAGAGTGACTTCGGAGATATACGAGACTTTATTTCAGACCGTCCACTTTAGTCCGTGTATCCTTCTCGCAGGATAAATATAACTTTCTTCTCAGAGCAAAAGCTGCTTACTAGCGCGTCACGTTCATATCAGTTATCTCGAGTCTCCTGCCGTTGCACACGTCGCCGGCGATCCCGAGAATGTCGTTTTCCCTGAGCCGCAACGCCACTTAAATCCCGCTTGTAACCATAAGCGCACGCATTGGCGGATTAAAATGTTTAGAGATGCAAATTGAAAATCTGATGCTTCCTACGTAATAAGCAACTGCCCTGGAGGGTAAAAATTTCAAGAGATCTGAGAAAACGAGACGAAAACACTTTTCATCTAAACAAGCTAAGCTACGAAGGAAATACATGGAAAGGCTTTCCTTCATATCACATATCTCAAATTAAATTTATTTTTATTCAAAACTATATGTTTTTACTCGTTAAAGAATGAAATATATGCAGGGTATAATTTATAATACGGGTAAAACAATTCAAGGGTTAGAAATAATTGGGAAATAATAATTGGATAACAATAATTACAATTGATGATTGTACAATAAGAGAAAAATTGCAATTGTAAAATTTCCTGTTGGAGAGATCTGAACATTTTGAAAAATTAGAAAAATAATTGGGAACAGTGATTACAAGAAATAATAATAATTATGAAAGAGAATATAGAGGATGTAGCTTAATATATGGAAAACACTTCGGAGATAGATTCAGAGCATTTCAAAACAATAAAACAAGTTTATATAAACTTATTTTATCATTTCCGATTGCAGAATCCACTTCTGAAGCGTTTCCCGCGTACTAAGTCACATCCCTTTTTCATAATTATTATTATATTTCGTGATTGTTAGACACTTAAGAAAACGAAATTCCGAAAGTTTGAGTGGCATCGAATAAAAATCTCGAGCGATAATCCGCAGTCGAAATCGCTGATCGAGCCCCCAGAGTCGGCTAAGGACGAAATTGATGCGGGTACGAGTCCTCGCACCTCAGAACGTATATCGTGTTCGTTCTATTCCATCCCTCATCGATTATACCACGGTTGATGGAAGCTGTGGGCGACGGTTTTGCCAACGAGAATGTGTCACGCGCACGATGTTACACACATGAACGGCCGCGAATAACGTTCTTGACTATATCCTCGCTGAATGGAAGGTAACAGGAATTGCCACGGCGCTCCCTGGAGCATTTAATACGAAGGTGCCGCTCAGGAGGTATAAAAAGCATCTTCTTTCCTGCGTCCGGTCGACGCGCCGGGATAACATTCTAATAATAACCGGCCTGCCGTACTCCGTAAGTCGCATCTTCTTCATTCTGAGAGTTGGTAGAAGGAGGAGGAAGAGAGGCGACAGGTATCGGACAAAAGATCGATTGCCACGAGCCTGGTGAAATTCCACGACAAAGGGTTGTTTTACTCGCGAAGCGAGAGCGGCTCGAAGTGGAAAAGCGCGCGTCCGCAGCGTAGGACGATTTGCTCAGTAACTGAATACCACTCAGTGAATGAACAGTTTGCAGTGTTCATTATAACACTAAGGCATGTGGCGCACTTTATGGTCCAAGTGAGTTACTAGAGGTAACTCATAAGTTATGTTAAGAAAAATGCGTCACAAGAAGTTAGCCTGACTGCGTCCGTTCAAATATTGAAGTTTAGTATTCGCTTTAGTATTCGGTTACTGGATAGGTCAACTTAGGTCGAAATATTCCTTTTCTCACTTCATGGTTTCAGCACTTGAAGACAATAAAACACGTTTGCACGAACTAACTTTGTCGTTTCTAAGCTCTAAATCCACTTTTGAAGAGTTCCATTGAGCCACGCCCTAAAATGGCTTTTCCACAATTATTTTATTTTTTGTAGTTGTTAGACGCGCGAAGAAGTGAAATCCCGAAAACTCGAACAGAGATCCCGCGCGACAATCCGCCGTTGGAATGACCAGTCGAACCTTCAGGTCCAAATATGCCGGGACGCGATTGACGCTAGCATAAGTTCCTCTATCTTGGAATATGTGTCGCGTCACTTATAGTTCCCAGATATTGCGAAACTACCCGAAAAAACATGCGGACGGAGTAATCATTCGATTATTTCCTCTACACTTCTATCGTGCTTTCGAAGGAAAATGGGATTATTCCGATTGGGAATTCTTCTGAATCATTTTCTAATGTCTGTTTATTATCACACGCGACATCGTCGCACCGGTCGGGCAAAAATAAAGCCCCGCGTGTGTGGGCGAATTCGCGTCGGGGCCTTTCCATACTTTCGTCGAGTCTTCCTGATCTGACCTTTCCGGCGCGGAAAGGTTCACCAAGCGCCACGAGCGATAACGAACTTTAACGCATCACCGATCGCTTTATAGCGCCCTTATTATAAGCGATCGTTTCACGTCTCGGTGACGCGACGGCTGCCACGTAGTTACGCTAATGACGTCGCATGAGCCGCCGTGTACTAACGCAGCTCGGTGCGAGCATTGAATGGCTTGAATGGGGTAAAAAATAGACTCGGTTAGGGAATAATATCCCGTTCATTCCTCGCGCGTGCTCGACGCGCGCCTCTCGCCTTTTCAATTGCGCCGTTGTCGACGACGAGAGGAAGATAGGGAGGGAGAAAGAGGGGGAATGAAAAGTGGGAGCTTTTAACGGCACGGCGGGGCAAATATTTGATTACGATCATCGTTTTGCATTTGAAATAGCGCGCGAGAGAGCAATTTTCTTAATAGCAGCCGTCACGTTCTGTCACTGAATTTAAGCAAATAGAAGCACGAACGCGGCTCGTGCGCGCGTACTCAGCTGCCTAACCGTAACGTTATTTGTCGGTGATTCAATATTATTTTGATGTTTTAGACGGAGTTAACAACTTAACTAAATATTACATGATCATAAAATCGTCATAAATCGCGTCGGCCCATCATGATATATACCCTTCCCTTTTCTGGCTTAAGAGATGATGTAAATATTTCGCAGTAGTGTTGATGTTATCATCTTGCAGTTACATATATAAACACGTTGGCTGTAATAAAGGTAAATTATTAAATAGCTAGCGAAACAGAGGTAGCGACACAGCTACGTAGTAATTTTGCGTGGGTTTAATGTAATCAGACAAACTATTGTGGACCGTTCTTTGTTACGTGCTTTTGAACGCGAAGCTGCATATTATTATTATCATTATTATTGCTATTGTTATTGTTATTAAATTAACACTAAAATGCCCGGAAACGACAATTCCTTTTGAATGTATAATATACATATACATATAAATAAATATACATTTAATTATATATTCAAAATATATGTTTTATATATTGTGAACACAAGTTACAATTTTTATAATTTTTCCAAACTTATAATTCCCTATCGCAAGAGATGCATAATTGTTACTTGTTTACTACTTTATAAGTATACTGATATTATACATAATAATAATATTAATAGTATCTCAAATAATATAGTTGTCTATCTATGTACACTGTCCATGACAACACTGGCAATTAAATAAAGAGTCAAAATGACTATGTTTGGGCGTCTAAGGTAAATCACAAAATAATTCGTCACGACGTCATCGATCTGTTCCGTTACTCTTTCAGCGTGTTCTATTTTACAATTTTTTACCAAAAGTCATGAGAAACAGAGGTAGCGACAAAAAAAAAGCCTTGAAGGAGTCAAAATGTTCTGATGTTAATGCATGCCTATTAAATCCAGACGAGGACTCGAGATGGGCTGCACTACTTACCGCTTCCGATCGGGCGACTTCTCGCCGGTCGCCACGGACGCACCCCTCGGCAGGAAACCTCTTTTGGACGTTTTCTCGGGGGTGTGCCATGATCCTCTTCTCTTCCCGCCGGCAGCGCCGCTGCTCGCCTGTTCGAGGCTCTTCTCGAGGTTCGCGATGTTCTGCTCGATGTCGATCAGCATTTGCTGTTCGTCCTCCATTATTTCCGTGGCCGCGTAGGAGCTGCAACCTTCGTCCGGGGGATTGTATCGAATTTCGAAGCACACCACCGCCTGCACAAGTACATACACACGGTACATCATAGGAATCGATCGAAAGGGTCGTTTGAATAATCGACAGAGATATACACACACACGAAGTTTCCTCGCGCGAATTCCATTCTTCATGAAGCGCGCGCGAGATTGCACGGACCTAGCGACGATAGAGGAAGAATAACGTTCCGATATAATCTACAATAATCTGTTGGAAAATACACTGAGCCGAGAAAAATACTCAGCAATTTTCGACATCGCCCAAGCTGTCGAGATGAGTCTCAGGAAAAATGGAGAACATTATTTTCAGACCATTCTGTGAAGCGACGGGATATACATCGTGTTTTCTTTGCTTCCCGAAAAACGGAGGAGGGAAAGAGAGAGAGAGAGAGAGAGAGAGAGAGAGTAAATATAATAAAAGAGATAAAGTTAAAGGGATACCATAGTTGGAAACTTTATCGGCAAAATACTAACAAAGTTTACGTCGTACAGTGATTATATAGGATTATAAATGCTTCTACACAGTGTAAGTAACGAGCACAGTGTGCAGATATAAATTGAAGCATTAGTCAGTTTGCAATGAAAACGATAAAGTAATCAAAAATTGTCATCTCGAGCTGTCAATTAGTATAGATATTTACTTATTTTGCAAAAGTTTCGCGTAATGCTTTAATTCATCCTTGCACGTATTAATTCTCATAACTTATCGTGTCGTTGCAGTTTTATGAGTTCATACTTTCGGTGTTTAAGCGACGTTTATGATCCTGGTTGGAAAAATGATTTCTGTGGAGAAAAGGCGAAGAAAAAAAAGTGATTTGAATTCGCATTTTTCGAATATGATTTCAAAGGTTTCATTCGCATTAATGCAGCGGGCACCATGCGAACTTTTGCCCGTCGTGTATCCTTCGCTCGCTCCGCGCAATACGCATAATCGCAAAGCCAACACGGTTGGCTCCCAAAGATCATAAGGAAGTTCAATACATTTTGTTTGCCTTGCAGGAAGTGCTTGGTGTGTTCGCAGACTGCGCGCCAACTTCGTTAGCAGCGCGTTTAACCTCCGGACGTTTTCGTGACGACGTTTCGCTTCCACGTAGACTTCCGCCGCGAGAGCGGCGACGCGTTAAATATCACGTGATAAAAATGAGCTCGAACGTAGTTAGCCGCGATACCGCGTTTTCTCTTTTTCTCTCTCTCTCTCTCCCTCTCTCTCTCGTGTGAAAAAAATGGTTCTGCGAAAAGTCTCGTCTAACGTGATAAATGCCATGCACATTATAACGACAGTTTTGCGTTCTTATATTTCCGATAGTTGCGTAATGAACGCCAGAGAGAGAGAGAGAGAGAGAGAGAGAGGACGCATGGTAAAGGAAAGAAATCGAGCGGCTGTTTTGCAAGACGCGCAAAAAATTGTCAAAATTAATCGATGTTAAGATGCAACATGCATGCTTACTTCCGAAGCTTGAGTTTTTTATTGATCACACAAACTTGTCCATACTGTTGTAAAGCGGAAGACGTTGTGATACTCGGAATATCGCGCGGCGAGTACGAAAAAATTATTAATTTCCTTATCAGAAGCGATTTTCTCGAGTAGAAGAAGAGAACAAAGTCTCCCACGAAGAAAATTTATTCTATAATTTATTAAGAAAGGTACGCCTTTGAGAGCCGCCGTTAAACGTTAGTCATGATAATTTTAATCTAATAACAGAAACACATAAAATTAGACAATGCGATATATGTAGAGTTCTGATCGGAAGCAAACCATCACATCGAACCGATCCTGCGTCTCGGAAATAAAATTTTTTCGTATTTAATAGCGCCTCCTGTCTGCGCCCCGGAGCTTCATTGAAAACTATTGTCACATTATCATACACAATTTTATCCTCCCGCTGTTAGATTAAAATTATCTCGATCAACATCGAACGACGGCTCTTAAAGACCTGTCTTTCTTAATACGGTTAAACACCACAAAGGAGGTCTAATATAAATAAAAATAAATATAAATAAGATAATAAATAGATAAATAATAAAATTTATTTCGTTCTCTCCCCCCTCCTTGCGAGGGACACAAAAGGGCAAGAAACCGCGCTGTCACAAAAATATTAAAGGAAACTTTGCATTCTGTATTTTAATAAAATCATTATTAAGGAGTCAAAAAAATGAATAAAAATTAATAAAATGATTATTAGAGCGAATTTAAGTGAGAACGAATAAAATCATTATTACAGCAGATCTGAGTATAAAAATTTATTTCGCCCACGTGGAACAAAAGGAAAAAAACAGCGTCATTGTACAAAAGTGTTAAAGAGAACCTTGCATTCTGCATTTTACCGGCGATCGTCGCTGCGAGAACGGGACGCGTTATTTGGAATACAGAATAGCGATTACGTATTCAGTCGTACGACTCTATATCGGTACGTACCGGAAGCGGTTTGTTATTGAGGTCGACTAGAGAGTCTGAGACTAAGATCCGACCTTCCCGCACCACCGTCTGCAACACCAGGCCGTACTTCGCCGCGACTTTTTCATTTCTCAGGACCCCGCGCGATACGACTGCCAATTGCAGCACCTCCGCCTCGTCCACCGGCCTCCCTAGATTCCACGTGAAGCTCTGAAATATGAGGATATGAATTATTTAGGACGCGCTTATCCCGAAGGACCTGGCCGACTTCAGCTCTCTTCCCAGCGAGAAAACTAACAGGTGGCTTATCAGGAGATATCATTTTGCGACGGACAGTAACTTTTCCTTTCCTTCGGCGGACTTTCTCACCGCGACATTCAGTTTATATCCAGTTGTGTACGATAAAACAGCTGGACACGGATTTCTGTTATATTCCTGGAGAGTCCATCTGTTTTTGGCAGAAAATCCTCTCGCGACTGAAGAAAGCCGCCGTCGAGACTTCGCATTTCTCGCGAATTAAACGCGAGGATCACAAACAAGAAGATTTGAATCACTGTCGCGTGAGCTTGCACGCATTCGGTTTGCATGCACGCATGAAACATGCATGAGAAATGTAGTGACGCGCGCGGTACGTATGTATAAATAAAATCGGAAGATCAATAAGTCCCGAGCACAAATTTATATATGCCAAAAAACCACATGATGTGCTGAAAGGATAGAGAGACAGAGAGAGAGAAAGAGAGGATTCTGCATGAAGCCAGATTAAGTCTGTTTTATTATTTAAATACGCTCGGGAAGCCACGAGCGTGATTCGAGAGCTCTGTCGAGATTTTTGATATAATTATGTCCATCTTGGTCGTTCTGGTCGTCTTTATTCTCTCTCTTTCTCTCTCTCTCTCTCTCTCTCTCTCTCTCTCTCTCTCTCTCTCTCTCTCTCTCTCTCTTTCTCTTTCTCTAATACAAGTTTTTCCTAAAAAATGTCTGTGCTTTTTCTTTTGCTCCGTAATATTTATTGTAAACTGAGATGATTATATCTTTCATATTATTTTACATTACTTATCTTTATCACTATTATCATTATTATTATTGATCTTTTTTATCTACCGTTAAAAATCTTTTCACGTATATTATAATACGTGCAAATTAGTTACTTACAGGTTTAGAGTTACAATTATTTTTGTTTCTAGCGCAATGTCTCACTTCTTATTTTTTTATACACTACTTTTATACATTCGGTATAACACTTTGTACCGAACGCTATTTTTTTTAAATACAAAAATAATTGTAACTCTAAATCTGTAAGCAACTAATTTGCACGTATTATAATATGCGTGAAAAGATTTTTAACGGTAGATAAAAAATATCAATAATAATAATGATAATAGTGATAAAGATAAGTAATGTAAAATAATATGAAAAATATAAACACCTCAGGAACCATATTTATTTACAATAAATATTACGGAGCAAAAGAAAAAGTACAGACATTTTTTCGATGTTACTAAAGAATAGTTTTACGCATCCGTCAGATTTCTTTCCCAAGACCTTTTCGTCATTCTTCTTAGCGGGAGAATCGGGTTTCCATGAAATAAAAGAGTAGTCCTTTCTATCCCATACTCTCTTCTTTCTCTCTCTCTCTCTCTCTTTCTCTCTCCTCTCTCTCTCGGCGCATATTTAGTTACATATAGCTTAAGAAAAAAAAACAGAGAAAAATAGAACGCGGAATTCGAAAAATTCCGCGCAAATTCCCACAGAGACTCCGGTTCGATTTCATTTTATTCAATTTCGCAAAATTAAATTCCTCTCCATTCTTTTGAATTCATCTGCCTTTTCACAGGAACCATCTGCCTTTTCATGTTCAGTACACAAGCCTGTCTGTCTGTCTGTCTATCTGTCTGTCGCGCAATGGACAAGGCGACTCGAAACGTTCAAAATTGAATCCCGAAACTGCACAGCCATTGAGGTGTATTCTCCATGAGAGAAACGCCAAAACTTTGAGGGAGCGAGTCAATTCCCAACGATGAAGATTGAGTGTTCGAGCGCTCGAGCAATTAATTTCAGTCCACAACCCTGTATCTCGCCCGAACTTGACGATCTCGCGACAGCAAGCCGAAGTTCTTAATCACGCTAAAAGCGTTATAAAGCCACATTCCTCGAATTTACGGGCACGCGTAAATTGGACCATTTATGCAGAGTTCCCACATTTATTAGTTGCGTCCCGTTATCGCCGTGCGGGCGATCAGGATATTGCGAAAGTTCATTTCCTACACGAATCGCGAGAAACGAATTTACGAGAAACGATACCTTGTCCTCTCCGGATAGAACTGTCAGACAACTCGCTGTCAGTTTCAGCCACGTACAGTGGTATAGTAATGGATTGGTCATGTCGACATTACCAAATCGGGCTTTCAGTGCTTATTAGATGTAAAATTTCCGGTGTAGCTTCCCTGTTCTCTGCAGGCAGTAGGCAAACGCGTCCATGAAATTTCGCACGGGAGAAAGAATTTGGTTGTATTAAAGTGAAGTTTGATTTTAATGAGCGAACCAACGTTGGTTTTAATTGAAGGATACAAAATTTATAACGACCCAAATTTAGCTGTAAGGACCAGAAATTCCGTTCCCTTCAACCAGCGTTGATCCGTTACCTAATCATAACTTTACGTTAATACAACCAAATCTTTTTTTCCATGTGTAATCTTTCGCGTATTTGATCTTTTGCGAACGCGATGTTTTAGAGTGTTTACTATCTATTCTTCTTTCCTTCCTTCAATATTTGGCCTTGCCTGCCACTGTCTGGACTTGATACGCATGCTATTCGCTGTATATTGTCTATATACAGCGTACTATATAACGTAAAAAATAAGAATTCTAAATATGTATGCTTCAATCAATCTCATACGAATAAAAATCGTTTTTTGTCATGTACTGCAGATAAACGTTTGATGACGCGAGATGTGTTTGTTAACGCGAATGTGTCGTTCCTAACAAGTGTGTCAGAGTATTCTTGCAACAAGTTGAAAACTGTAGTATTTTGTTGCAAACATCCTGATTGCATTCACAAAGAGTTGACTTATGTTACTTGCTGTAAATATTGAACTTCTTGCAATTTCGATTAGAATTCCGTACGAGCGTGACTAACCCTGCCGTCCGGCCGTCTGTTCATTAGAATGCGCAACTAAAACTAATTTATAAACAGTTCTTGTATATTGCGCGGTTAGAGAGAGAGAGAGAGAGAGAGAGAGAGAGAGAGAGAGAGAGAGAGAGAGAGAGAGAGAGAGAGAGAGAGAGATATAGAGAGAGAGAGAAAGTTATACATGGGTGAGAATACCATAACTAAACCAACTATCTGCCTTCCCATTTATTAGCACTAATTCTTCTTCTTCGTTCACACATTCGTTAACTCGTTAACTTCGTTAACTATAATTCTTTTCACTGTAATAATCTTTCCGCCATTGTGCGCGCGCACAATAAGCTAAATCGCCAATATATTGAGAAAAAAATCTAAGTCTGAGGTTTACGCAAATTTTGTTGTATAAACTGCAATCAACGTAAATTGAATAACTTTAGTCAGATAGAAATTAAATTACTACATTTAGCCAACAAGAACAAATCAATGGAGCTGAAATACAATTGAATGTACAATTTCTTCAATAACCAGAATGTTGATTCAGTTGCACAGTTTAGGTAATTTGATTTCTAATTAAAGCTTGAATAAATCAGATGACAAATACGATCTATAACATGTTGTGTCAGCTTTATGATTGCATTGAAGTAAATTTTAAGTTTGTTTTACGTAAACAATAAATCAAAGAAAAATTTTGCTGAATATATTAAGACAGTTCGTCTGTCATGTACAATTCTGAAGCTGAGTTCGTTTAAGATGGTGTCCCCAATCAAGGAGGGATAAAAAAGTTGATTTTTTATTGCATTTTTAAAAACGTGATATTTCAAAAGCGTGCTCCTGAAATGCCATGTTTGAATTAAATGAAATAACGGAGATAAAGCGGGCCTAAGAAAAGACCTTCGAAATAATTCCACGCCTTTTGCCGAAAAAATTCCCTACGGTTTCAAATACTTAAATAATAGACGTTTAAATACCTTTTGTGCTTCGTAAACGTTTCGTAGCCGTGCTTATAAAGAGTGTTGTAAACACGTGCCAACCATCTGAAGTATTCAGTTTGAGCTGTCTGCATTTTTAATGAAGTATTTGATCCAATTTTGCAAATAATAATTGTAATTGCCATCAGCACTAGTTAACAAGCAAAGATTTCTTGCAACGTGAAACGAATTGACAAGTCAATATGACAGAAAATGTTAAAAATTTTGTTGTTTCCTTCAAAAAATTTCTTAACGTTACCTATTAATCGGCGTTTCAAATCGGCTTTCACATCTTTCATTGATTCAAGTTGTTTCGGCATGTTTTCTTGCAGTGCAAAACTGAACGGATCGGATTATTTTGTGACAAATGTTAAGTAATTCGGGTAGATTAATCCTTCGAGTGATATTTGCGTTACTTTCGGAGTGGCAACCAGAATCATTAGTGTCTTCTTGGATTTTCCTCTCTTTAGTGCTCGAAAAAATTCTCGAAAATTATTGAAACTTCTTTTACCCTTCTAGTTGAGGATCATATGGCTTTTCTGCAAAAAATAAATTGCTCTAACGAAATTATGTATGAAGCTGCTTGTATTATTAAATTAACCAACAAAGTTTTTAAGGCTAATGAGAAGCGAAATTGCTCTAAGTTTATTTTATTTTTAGTAATTTTTAAACACAAATACTTCGAAAAACGAGTTCTTCTCAGAATGGTCAGGACACGAGTAATCCTGGTTGCCACTCGGAGGCTTGAATATGAATAAAGATGCGCGTGTAATATAATCGAATCAGATATGACGCATGAATTTACGCAGACACAAATTGGGTGACGGATTACATTTGCAGATCTCTATCTCCTATTTGCAACAATTTGCACTCATGGATTATATACTTTTTTCTCTCGCTCTCTTTCCCTCTCTCTTTCTCCCTCGCTCCCTCGAGAACGCATGTCGAGCTTCCACAGCTGGATGGTGACAAAGAGCTGTCTCGCTATTGCGAATCGGCGCGTTGTCGAGTTATTGTGAACGATAAAACAGCGGTATGCATTCCCTCATTTTCTCTTTTTATCTTTTTGTCTAAAAAATCAACGATTAAATTCACGTCGACAAGTGGCGCGCTTGCGAATCGCAATTTAGATTTTCATTATTAGCGAATGCAAGTCTCCCACGCGCGTGATATTTCTACGTATGCGGGGTTGATACGAGAACGAGATAATTATATTGTAATTGTGGTCTCCACGTCGCCGCGGGCGGATAAAAACGATATGATGTCGCGCAAACGTTACGATCGGTAGCGTGGAATTTAAGATCGCGAAAACGTGCGTCACGCGCGCGTTCGCCCGTTGCAACGTTGCACAGCGAGTCCGCGGATCGATCCTGCCATCACGCACCTTTGCCTCGGCCATGACATAAAAGCTGAATGAAAAGACTCGCCGCAACATAACGTCGCTCACATGTTCTATTACATGCACACGAAAGCCGAAACGCATCTTGCACGTGTCTAAGCAGTAATGAGAGATGAGGGATCGTTAATTACGCTGAGAGCGCGCAGTTAACTCTCGTGAGCTCAGTTCAAACACCCGATGTCCATTTTACACGTTAAGAAATGTGAACTGCAGAGGTACAGCTGTCACGTAATTCGTATCGCAGAACAGTGAAATTGAGGTGTGAAGAACAGTGAAGAAACCTTCACGTACAATGTTGAATCCGTGAGACCCGGACAAATATTCAAACGTTCAGCAAATATTTGTAGTCTGGGAAAATTTCATTATAGCGAAAATCTGTTTGCAGAGTTTGATTTTATATTGCGTTATTATCTTGTAGCTGAGATCCTTTTATATCTTGGTTGTCCGAAGTTGCCTCGGCTTAACAGGCTCAGATTGTACTATATAAGTATATATATATATATATATATATATATATATATATATATATATATATATATAAATTTAAAAAATTAAGAAGAGAGAAAATTAATTATATATTTAAATATATTTTACTTCTTATATATTTTGTATATATTAATTAAATATACAAGATATTCCATTTTAAGCCAGCTGAATATCTTGAACACACACATAAATTCGCGCACATATCAATGTTGATGGAACTTAGCGACGGAAGTTGCATTTTTTATTGCTAAATAACTTTTAAACTTTTAATTGGACTTGCGTCATATACGTTTTTGGGATTTTCTACAGAGAAAATTGATTTACGATTGTTTAAAATCTACTACAAAAAGTACTATTTGAAAAAAAAACTTTCTATTTGAAAAAAAACTTTCTATTTAAAAAAAAGTTTTTTTCTACTATCAAGTTTTTAACTACTATCATTCGCCAAGGTTGATCTTGGCGAATGATAGTAGTTAAAACTCAAGATTACCATTTTTTTTCTCTCTTAAAACCCTATAAATTTTGTTTAAAACATTTTTGTCTGCCCGGTTTTCGAGATGTTTGGCTGGCCTGTTTAAAATGTAATTGCCTGCATAAAAGAAAATTAATTTTTTTTTATATTTATATATAATGTGTATATATATATAATTTTTTTTGTTTTTTTCCTGCATATCTATATACAAAGAGGAAAGAAATTATTTCCTTTACATATATTAACTGATATATAAAATACATATCAGGTAAAATATATATATTTAATATATATAATATAACACTAATCCTTCGCATATCATTAACCATAATTTTTTTTTTCTTTATACCTGTATATAAAAAGAAACGAATTCAATCTTTTCTAGATCCATTTGAATCTATGTCAGTTTGAATCGCAAATCGGCGAGTTTACGGCGCAATCTCAATCGCAGTTCTTGCGAGAAGGCTGTTTTAAATTGCAAAAAGGTACGCGCTATATTTATCTCGGGGATATGCGAGCTTGCTGGGATTACAATTAACGCTGCAGGTAACGCTCGACGCCAGATCGATAAAGGCTTTATCAATTCGCTCTTATTAGGTATTTGCCGAAATTATTCATCATTCCTCTCGTCGTAGTGTCTCACTGTCACGTATGTACCAAATACCGTTCAATTCGTCGTTTCGTTAATAAACGACAACGCTATCGGGACAATTTTCTTGTTATACATTTGCATAACCACACGGTTGAAGTTGCTCGAAAGCGATGTCGTGTCGGTGTGATACATTTGCAATACGGGAGCGCGATGAAATCGTTATTTTCCAGACGATACGCATATTTACCGCTACTTCGACGTTCACAATTACGCTCATAACGGGACATCGACACTCCGATAATCCAATACTCTGCTCAACAACACTTCAGTCTAAAGGCAATTATCTCGCGACGTATCGGCCGCGTATGTGTGAATGAGAGAAGCGGCAGAGGAAGAGAAAGAGAGAGAGAGAGAGAGAGAGAGAGAGAGACAAACAAATAGACAAACAGGCAGAGAGAGGCAGAGATAGTCTAGAATGCATTTGACCACGTGTAATTTTAACGAAAATACGGGCCTCTCGGACTGCTCTTCATAGCGTGACTGAAGCGAGATCGAGCAAACTACTTTAATAATTCCCTACTCTCTGCATAAACATTTTATACGCTTAGGAAAGAAGAGAATTTTTACCTGCTCCACCTCGATGACGTCCCCATTGTCCTCGAGATTCGTTGAATAATGCGATACTTCTGCAACAGAGAAAAAATGACACTATATATACAATCTGATGAAAAACATATTCGATAAAATAACGAACAAGGTGATTTTTGACATACGCGCGTCGTCCATCGTATGAAAGCGAGACAACGGTTTTGGGATGATCGGGGTGGGCTTGACGCGTTTTGCTTGTGTATTCACCGCGACAGGGACTTTCCGCGTGGAAAAAAGAATCGCGATATGTCTTTATAGAAAGCAGATACCTCCCTCTGAGCTTTTCATTTATGTTGGAAAAATGTTACAATTAATCCTACAATTCTAAACATTATAAAGTTACATGAAGTATAAACATAACGGCACATTTTCTTTTACCCGGTACATATTCCTCTACTCATGACTCTTGGGAAAATAATTGAAATTTAATGTTTTTGTTTTCTTAGTCAAGATGCATAGAAAAAAAATATATGATTTACATAAACAGGAAAGTCCTTTTCGTGTTTACATGAACGGGACGTATCAACGTTGACGTCCTGGCCTTTGTAAGTGTTTTACATTTAATGTATAAGTTGTTTACATTTGCGGAAAAATCGGCGAGGCGACGTTTCGTTTCTCAGAGCGGGAGGAAAAGCGCGGTCTACATCGCGTCTCGCGTCTTATTTTCCCGGCGCGACAATTCCCATTAGATTCGTGAACTCGTGGCAACTTCGCCGGATAATGAAGGCATTGCAGAGCAAATTAAAATCATATTTCGCGGATTTGCGTCAGAAGCACGGCTGTTGGGACGGGGCGGAAAAGAAAAAAGAAACCGTATCGAGCAAAGCTGTAGAAGGTCGTACAGAACTACACAAGGATTCCTCCGAAGCGGTTAGCGCACAAAGTGCCTTTATTCTACGGTAAATTCCATGCTTCGGACGCTGAGAGCTTTTCCTCCTCTTCTATCTCTCTTTCTTTGTCTCTGTCTTTGTCTCGCTCGTGGTGCGAGAGTGCAGTGCAACATGATTAAATTGCGCTCGCGATGCCCGACAAACATATGGATAAAACGCTTTGCGAGCGTTACGCAACATTTCAATAAAGTAAATTCGTGATCAATCGGCGATTCCGCATTATATGATTTAGAAAAAAAGGGGAAGAGAGAGCACATAAAAAAACCACACTCGCAATCTTCCATCGCGACATTTCCAATTAAACGCGAACTGATCGCCATTTCCGTGACTTTTCCATCTGTCGGGCGCGAAAGACCGAGCATCTCCGAGTAACATGTTCGACAACACGAGCTAAAGTTCAAACACGAGGTGGCCGAGGAACGCTCGGGCGAAGGCGATAAAAATAATTCTGTTTACATCCCGAGAGACTTTGCAACACAGTCTTCGGTTAGATAAGAGGGCGCACGTATGTATCGACGCCGCGCTTTCCTTTTCGTGAGGAAAGCGACGCCATGGCGGAGAAAGCCGGCGGGAAATACTACGGCGTGCTCCCGTTCGACTCGGCTTATTTATCTCCTGTGAAAATCTGCGCGACCTATGTTTGTCAAACATGGAAAGCCAACAAGCACCTTCGGAAGGCACATCTCACTATCTCTTTCCTTCTCTCTCTCTCTCTCTCTCTCTCTCTCTCTCTCTCTCTCTTTGTCTGTGTGCAAGATATAAAACCGCAGGTCAACCGCAAGATAACGGAATTGTTATCGGCCGTTTGGCGGCAGGAAAACCACCACGACGACAGAAAGTTCCGCGCGCAAGTAGATAAGGAGCTTTATGGTCAGACAGCCACGTGCTGTGGATGTGAGCTTTCCCCTGCTCGTTAACGCGCGATGAAACCTGTCAGTGGCAATCTCGCGCGTTTCCGTTCTCTCGCCGTTCTTTTCAACTTTTTCTATTGACATTGACGTTTTTCCACGTGGACGCGAAACGCCGCAAACACCCGGACGGACGCACAGGGTATGCGACCAATATCGTCGCGTGCGAGGCGCATAAGGAATGCCGCGCGCATTCACCAGTCGCATAAAAATGCCGTTCCGGCTGCAGTGATATTTACGCGCGCGAGTTGCTTTCGCGAAATTTTGAGGTATTGGCTTGGAAAATATACGGAGAGACGACAGCTCAGCGGGAATGTCGAATACTGTTGATAATATGCACGCATTTCTTGAAATTTGAAATCATTAAAGGAAATTATTTGTTTGAACCATCGATATTAATTAATATTCGCGGCTGATGTAGTACAGCAGGTACAGTTAATAATTAATATCAACTAATAACATAATTAATATGCCGCCGTATCAGCATCATGAGAGGTGACCATATCGATTGTTTAGCGATTCGTTCAGTCAGACATGTAATTATCCTGACAATTCATCAACGCCGAATAAAAAAAGGTGAAAAAAGCTGGTCGACAATCATAACGGAATAATTCGGATATGACGCTACTGTCGATTGCAGATCAATATCGCCTCCGGTATCCACAGGCGTACACAGAGTGTCCCAGAATTCGCGAGCTTTACTTTACCAAGGGAGTCTCTGTGTAATTATACATTTTACCTCAGCGCAAACGTTCATGGCATTCACGGTCTCCGAGATGCAATCGATCGGGAAAGCGGGGCTTTTCGCGAATTGCACGCCCTGCTTTACCCGAGATATGGATAATAAAATTATTCTTTTCGTTCAATTTCACAAACAGACTTCGCTTTAATAAAATTTTACTTCGAGGCCTTGCTACATAGATATGTTGAGAATTGAAAAGTTAGCATAAGTAACGAGCTCCCTTGAGATTTTGCAACGGAGAGTTGTCCCAAGTTACCCAGAAAGAACCTCTTGGCCTGATTAAAGTCGGTGTTCCGGAACACCGTGTGTATAATCAGGTGCGATTAGAGCGCGGTTTCCGTGACGCGATTATTATAAATTTACTGTCGTCACCAACCTCGCAGTCTCGTGTGGCTGGTTATATGCGGTTTTATGTAATGCAGCGGCGAGAAATACACGCGGGGTGACCCGAGCGAATCGCGGTGCGAACTCGTAGAGTCGTTTTTCCCCAGCTGCGAGCACGGTAGACACGCGTTCGTGCCGTGACATTGCGCGGCATAATATTTGAATAACTCTCGTCAAAGAAGAAGAAGATAGCAAGAAAAACGATCCGGGAATGCATGAATATTGCATTCTGTTTGCGTAATGAACGATAACGTTGTTATCGATTCTTCGTCGAGGATTTCGTTTACAAATTTTTACTGAACAATGGACACCTTGTAAACGCTTCCGTGAAAACATTCGCCCGTCGAGTTGAATCTCGTTGTGTGACGATCGCTCTGCAGATTTGCGATGGAGATTTCCCGAAGCATGGCTGGTGTATGTATGTATGTATGTGTGTGTGTGTGCTCTCACCTGCCGCCGCATCAAATTGTCCCCTAATGATCGCGTGGTGCAGTTATGGTGACACATAATGCGCGGACAGAAAGTTACGGCCATTATTCGCGCGCTATTGTCGTTAACGATGTTGGGAAATGCAAAATTTCTCTATTTATAAAGGCCGCCGTTGACACACAGCTCGCGTATTCTCAGCGGGACGAGTAATTATTATTAATTAGCGGCAATATGTAAGGGAGGGGGGGAACGCGCAATAATTTCGCGACGTTCGTAATGCGAAACGATCGGCCGCGAATTAATTACTTCTGCGCGTATATATGTGACTCACGTACACTGCGCCGTTAATTACATACGGAATATCAGCAATATCATGGGAGAGAGCCGGCGAGAAATAGTTATTCTGATTACGGGAAACAGGATTGTAATGCGAGACGCGCGCGACTCTACTGAGACCGGTATGTGAAATGAACTTGAAGCGTCGTCGTCTTATGCTGTCTGTTATTACAGCAGCTGTGCGACTCCCCCCTTCCCCCGTCAAAGGGAAACCGCGCGTTTGTCGAATCCATCCTCGAATCTATTTGAGTAAGTTCGATATACGCCTCGTCGCATATAATCCATTTCGACGCGTGCAATATAACGCGCAATATTTTATTAACGAGTGTGAACGTATCGATTTTATATATTTTGATATTGATACGGTGGGAAATTCATATCAGAAACATCTATATAGAGTGTGTTCATGAACGAGCGTGTTGATCACTAATACGTTGTCTGCCCATCATTCTTGTATGGTTTACTGTCCAGTGAGAATTTTATTATTATCGCAAGCGCGTCCAGTGTATATCACGACCAAGTATTGCGCAATATGTGATTAAAGGGGACTACATCGTCGTCACGGTTGGGAAGTTATTTTTTACAAGCAACTCGTTACCGTTATCATTATTCATTTTGAAGAATGACTCGTTACCGTGGTCGTTGCTCATGAAGTAACGAGTAGTTAGGATTCCCATTTCTCTCGCCAAGTTATGAAGAGTCTTTTTTATGACTCGCTGCTGTCCATTCCAAGTGCGTATATTCTACGTTCTAAAGATGTTGCTTGGATAGGTATGGTTTGTTGCCACGATCAAATATGAAGGTTATTTTTTGCCTATGTATAAAAAATTGTTATAGAGGTTATAGAACTCCGGCAATAATACACTGGGCCTAGCAAACTCCGCCTACATTGTTACCTATCTATATGTGTTTGAGAGGAACTCTAGATGCTGTTTACAACCAAACTGTACAGACTTCTCAACTATAGTACTCGTTCTGCAGACCGCAACAGAGGAACAGCTATATAGGTTCTTTTACAACCATGTATGAAAATGTGCTAATTGAACATCACTTATCATAAGAATTGTGGCTTTGAGAGCTGTGTATAGATGGACATGTACCTGTCAGTAATTTTTAATTCGATATCTCTTTAACTTTTGAATCCACATAAATTTCCTTTCAAGAAAATTTGATTGTAACGACTATAACATTTTTCTTTGTGCATAAAGTAAGGATAAAAGTAAGGATAAAAGCGGTTATATTTAACGGTTACTGTAATTCAAAAAGTACAACTGTGTTACCGTTACTAATGAAGAAGGAGAGAAATGTCGTTATCAAGCCGGTAACAGTGTTACAAGTAATGCGTTGCTTCCGAACCTTGACCATCTTGGTGATGCATCCTACTGCGGGGGGTCACCGGTGACCCTCATGGCGCTACCGTAAAGGTCAAGTACTGGTCACCGGTGACCTCCACAGCAATCAGTGTGTTAATTCTGGAAAGGAAGGAGATAGCATTCCACCAGTGAGATACCTCGCAGGATAAATCTCGTAAGAAGAAGTAAAGATGTTTATTCGGTTTCAAAAAATTTCGAAGTATTTTAACCCGCAGTTTTACGTTTATCTCGCTAGGTTATCCGCGCATTAGCATCGTATAATGCTTGCAATTTATCTCCCACATTAGCGTTCACGCGATTACCACTGGTCGCTCATTGAACGGTATATTCGTAATCCTAATGGCTATTAATAATCCGCATAAGTCGATATCATCATTTTACGAAAAGTACATGATGTATTAAACGGATTACAAAAGGACAGTAATCTTGTCGCAGCGCACCGTCCATAAATCCTTATTACACAAACACGTACACGTTTTTAAATTCGAGCAAAGCATTCGTTAGTTTCTCTCTCTCTCTCTCTTTCTCTCTCTCTTTCTCCTGCTTTTTATGTCGACAGGTGCGTTCACTAACGAGTCGTTATTAAGGAGCCTTTTTGGGTTCGGCATGAACCTTCATGCCCGAACTGGGGCAGATATGATTAAATGAAACGTTACTCTATAGCACTTAGGCTCCGGGGCATGCATCTCACTGTTCACATCTGAATTCCCTTTGGTGTCGCGTATACACACACCGGTCCAACAATATTGTGAAACGGTACTGAGATAACACTAGGAAACAAAGTGAAACGCCTAAAGGCAATTCTCGAAAAATGAAAAATTTTGGACGCTTCCCGCGATTCTCACTATGGCGTATCGACATAAGCCGCGGATGGATATTTCGAGAGTATCGAGCTGATTATTCATGCGCCGTGCAATAATTAATCGCATCTCGAAATATGTTGATTATAATTGAAATAATAAATAAACACGGCGAAACGTGCGATTTATGCGATGTCTGTTAAACTATTATTATTATTATTTTTGGTTATTTCCATAATTTTTATTAAAAAAATATATTGCACAAACAACATCGTGTTTATCTCTCGTTACCCTTTCTCCGGGAAAATAAACTCTGCTCTCTCTCTGTTTTGCTCTTTCTTTTTTTCCCTTGCAAAGAGTGTAGGTGGATTTTATTTGCAATAATAGCGCGCGCATTTTAAAAATATCTGCGAAACGGAAACAGCAATGAAGCGTACATTATGCCTGCGCAAAGAAACGCAGACCGAGGAACGTGCTGCAGGATAAATTTAGTTTATTCGACCGCCGGCCTCGTTCGCCGACACCTGAGAGTAATCGATGTGTAACGTCGTGCGCATCTACAACCAGTTAACCTGAAAATTGGCGCAGATTAATCCCGAACATCGTTCACTCGCAGCATCGCGCCAGTGTCCCAATATCCTGCACAATCCGCGACAGGATCAATTGGCGAGAATGATGAGCTGGACAAAGGACAAGCACGTGGCAAGCATGCATTATTAAGGGAATTCGCGCAACGATCAGCAGACGATATCGAGAGTACATTTCAGCAATAATGTGATAGTAATCGATGTATGTGTAGCGCATTAATACGCCGAAAAACGGAATTATTACGTGAATTTGATAACAGCCCGATATCTTTACTCTTTATATTTGATTTACTGACGGTTCCATTATTTTACTTTCATAAAAGGCAATTTCGCTTGTCAATTTCCTCGACAAAAGAGCTGCTGAATTTTTCAGACGAGCAAAATATTTTGAATTTTATCGTTTATTCTATTTATAATATTCATTTTTTCGTTTTTTGTCGTTCTCATATTCGTTCTCTATCGTGTGTTTTCCATTTGTTTGTTCGTTGATTTGTTCGTTCGGAGGGAGAGAGGGCGATATGCCGAATATTGAATCCGAAAAAATTGTACAACGCCCCGAGCGCGCACATTCGTTCATGAAAAAGTGACATGTTCGCCCGCGCACATTAACGAAATAATAAACGTCAACTTTGACATTACCTCGAAATTCGATTCTCGCGACCTTCTCGCCTTTGCACTTGAGGCCCTGGAAGTTCTTCAGAATCACCACGAGCGACATCCTGGGTCTTCCTCTGTCGAGCCGCGACTCCGACGATTAAGGACCCGGAGAACAAGGATCTGATCTTCGTCTACTGCTCGACGATGGTGCGAGTTCTCGTGTAGCCAACGGTACCGGTTGCAACACCATTCATCGGTGCCGTTTTCGCGCCATTCATGTTCGCCAACACTCGCTTCGCGATTGAGCCAACGAGCTGCCGAGACGGGGAGTGAATTCGCCGATAACGAGCCCGCGGTATCGCCTCCCGTGGTCGTTGCGCGCGTTATCGAACCGGGTGGACGCCTGGAGGAATTGATGAGGTCAAGGTGGAGCTGGAGCAGGGCCTGAACCGCGAGGCTGCGACAGGACGCCTTGAGTTTCTGTTGCTACTTGGCGAAGGAGCACGTCGCTGTCGAGGTCGCGCAGGCGAGCACAATCTTACCTTCCGCGGAGGCTACCCGTCGACTACCACCGAGAGTTCGCGCCTCAAACAACCCCCAGCATACCGGGGGAGCGGCGCACGCGCTTCTGCAGCGACGGCGGCGGCCGCAGCCGGCATTCTCTCTACCACCCCCGCAGGAACCGTCATACTACGCGTACGCGCAAGTGTCATTAATAGGTGACGTATTCGTCCTCGTGCTCGGATCGCGGGGGTCAAGTCGTTTCCTTTTCAATGGCAGTGTTGGCCATCGATAAATGGAGATTATTTTTTACTTAAATGACCGACAAATCGATCATCAATCGTGCACAAAATTATGTAAAACTACAAATAATTTCACCGAATGATGCAATTAGTTATTAATCGAACTGTGATTGATTAATAATTGATTTCATCAATCGATTAGATAGTTGGCGTGATTACAATTGGTATATATGACAATTGACTAATTTAGATTATTGATTTGCCGAGTTATTTATTATTTTAGTCTTATTTTAGTGTATTTCTAGCACATATTTATATTATTTTAGTCAAAGGAAATTTTCACACAGGATTAATGCTTCAGATTTCCAGATTAAAATGCGCAACACCTCACTGTATACAGATTAACGCCCCTTGTTTACTTTTCACGTTTTCCCTTCAATTTCATTCCCGGACGACCGCTTTGTCCTTGCCCTACTTTCCTAACCAGTGATACTTTTCAAAATCGCACCAACAGAGATACGCGTTCCTCAACATCCGACGACAAATTGACTCGACAGAAACATAGTGGAATTCGACCCTTTTCTCGCAGATATGATAGGCAATAATATGGTAATAAATGGATATGGTAATAAAAAGTTCAAACGTATTATACGCATGAATACCATGCCATGTGACTCATGTATTTGTAATCCTTCCTCTCTTCCTATTCAAAACACCTGATTGCTAACACTTGTGCGTTGAGTCGTATTTTAGTGCCTTAATTTCGACCTACACTGCTCGCTTCTTCTATCTACAATTTTTGTAATTTCATGGAATCATCGAATTTCGACGAAATATTTCGAAAACGTGTTTCCCTCAAACCTTTGGGCAATAAAAAATAAAAAAATTCGATTTCCTCGATCTTCTGATCAAACTAGAACCTTTAATTGAACGAGGGATAAGTAATACACATCTGCCCTCTTAAACTTTCGTACTTAGCGACGTACTTGAGAGATCAGGACGATTAAAGCGACAAACGAATAAGTTTGAGACGCGGTTGGTTGAGGATAAAGAACGGATAGAGGGAGGATTATTTTTACTTAGGGGAAAAAGAGAGGGGAAAGATACGAACAATGCGACGGTTTAAAAGACGTTTATATATCTAAAGAGACGCAAAGTGTAAAAATTGTAGAGGTCAGAGGAGTCTTTTGGGCGTTTCCATAACGTACTTGAAATAGGTTCATATTGAGATATTTGAAATACGAAATATGAAATTGGAGAATTGCTGGAGGGGACTACGAGGTATGCGAGGACACTTCTTAAAAAGAAGATATTCTCATATAGTAATATATTACATATAAATATATTATATATTTTTTTTAATATAGATATAAATAAAAATATAAATTTCGACTTACATCGTTAGAATACCACACAAATCTGAAACTGCGACTGTAATAAATACAAGTCAGCCAGTGAAGATGTAATTTCGGAAATCAGGCATGTGCAGTATGTTCATGTGTGTTATTTTCTTACAAATGGCGAGAAAGGCTAGATCTTTCACGCTGAATGTATATATAAAATTTTCATAAAAAACACTGCGAAAGTGTGAAAGCAGGAGTTTTTGCGTGCGCTGTGTGCGAATAATAGTGGATCTACGTATAAAAGTAGGGAAAGAAGAAGAGTGCTTGATGAAACAATGGAGAAGGGAACAGGTTCATTACGCCCGCCACATGGTATCCTCTCTCTATTCTTGCCCCTCTTAATTGTTGATTTAATTACGTTAGCACAACTTCATCGAGTCTCACGGCGGCGCGTGAAATAATACTTCGCGATTAGTTATATCCAGTGTAACAGAATTTCAAGCTTCGCTTCATATCGAAGATCTGCGTGCTGTCCACTCTGAGACGCGACAGCGTGACAAATGTAAAGGTCAGCCGAGTCGCCGCAATCGAGCCGAGAGAAGGGTAGCGAAGAGTGCGGACTGCTCGTAAACCTACACAGAGATATTCGGTAAGATAATATAAGATAAATTACGAAAAGGGAAGCGACAGGGGAAGCGACAGACCGGCGCGGATATCGTAAATTGTGCTCACGTGAAGAGTATCACGTACGTATGTCTGCGCTAAGATTGTTCAGTTGCATGGAGACAAAAATTTCGTTGTAAATTTCAGTAATGTGACGTTTGGCCTTAACGAGCCGACCCGTTTTGGTCGAATGACGCAGAGTTTCTGTACCGTTCTTATCACCAAAATTTGGCCCTAAAAACCGAAATTCCGTTTCCTTCAACGCGTTGGTTTGTTCATTATCAAACTTTCTTTCCTGCGGTATCAATGAAGTTATACTCACCCTTGTTACATAATCATATCCGCTCCTGCTTTCTCTCCCTTTTTCTGATTTCATCCATTTACCTCTTGCCTTTCGTATCGCAAAACTTTAGTTACACTCGGAACACAGCCTGCGCGTAAGGGAGAAATTAAAATTCTATTTAAGGCGTAATTAACAAAGTAAACTGCAGCACCTAACGTGATTCACCGTCATGTGAAATTAAAAATTTCAAACTTCCCGATTACACGTGTAAAATTGAAAGAACGGCAAATGGGAGAGTTGTTTTCCTTAAAGTGTTGGGGGTGTATAACGCAATTTTGAGTCCAAGTGATCGTGACTGCGAGATATTGAAATTATTCAATTCGTTCGCCCTGCGACTGTTAAAGCTCCAAGATGCAGCTGCGCGTATCTCGGGGCAACAGATAATCGAGTCGCGCTATTACCATTTTTATCGCCCGACGGCGATCAGTTTTGCGCGCATAATTCGTAGCTTCATTTTTGTTACAGACGAAGCACGTTATATTATTGCAATTTTTTTCGCATCTGTAATCTCGCTGGACTGTAACTTTCCAACACCCTTAGGAGCCGCTCAAATTTTCACGGGTCTCAGTTATGGAGCCCCTCTAAAATATTCAGAGGCCGTGAGAAAGCTCGGCTTCTCAAATCAGCCAAATAGACTCGCGGTGACATGCTTCGCATTTTTAGAATTGAGAATTTCTGGCTTCTCACGGTCTCTCCCTTCGGGTAACATGACCGTCTAAGGGAAGTTGCAAAGATACTTTTCTAATCTTACAAATTAGAAAACCTTTTAATTAAAATTAATTTATATCCTCGTATTTTTCTTAATCTTTCTTTACTCGTTTTTCCAGCGTTAAATAAACGACGTTATTTCTAACAGTCAGCCCTATGCTCTCACAAGCTTCTAATTGCGAGTCCATAATTCTTCCTGGAATAACCGTGTTACATTTATCACGTGAACCCAATTACACCCGCGCTCGTACATAACACGCACGCGACGTCGGCGTTTCCTCGATTTACTCGAAGAGGCTTCGTTCACGCGACTCGAGAGCAAAATCCACGTCAACATCTTTCGCAGGAGATACGAAATTCCGGCGAAGGAAACAGCGGGGAACGGCTTCGTTCTGCGGCTGAAGATCGACACGAGCGATCGCGGCTGCTTGATGGATACAGTGCCAAATTGTCAAAGAGCACCTATGTCGCTCTCGCAATCCGCGTCTACATGTAATGTCAGATGCAATTTTAAGCGCGTCAAGATCGAGACGAGATAAGATCGGGGCAGAAGGGTGAGATCTCTCGTACGTTGTACGCCACGCGAAGCAGCTGCCGCGGGCTTTCGAAGGGAACGCGCGGGGTGGATCAATAATGGAATGGGGGGTTGGCTGGGATTTCTCAGCGCCATCCCTCTATATAATGTGGAACTAGCAACTGTTGCTTCACCCTTTCCTTCCTGCCCCGCTGTGGAGCCTAATCTCGTTCCATTTCGTTTAGGGATCCGACTGACCTATATACAGGGTGTTTCCAAATACAACCGACAAACTTAGAGAGAAGTTTGAGCCAAGATCAAATTTATAAGGCTAATAAATTAATCTTTTTACATTCTACAACTTTTGTGTCTGAAACAATTTTTTATAAAACTTATATTTTTTAGATATTTCAAGGTCCCGACCTTTTTCGAATATCCCGTATATCGTAGCGATAAAACGACCCATTTTCGACCCTAAGTCTATTTGTAAAAAATAATCCTTAGGGTCTCCCCAACAATCTCTCAAAGTTTGTTGGTTGCATTTGGGAATATCCTGTAGAGTTCTAAAGTGCGAACTTCTATCCTCTGATTTGCAAGTCCTCACACTGAGGGAAAGAAAGCAGTTGGAACGATAAAATCGGCGGTCGGCCGCCTTAAAAAAAATGTTGTATCTATTGAACTAAGTATTCGCGCTACAAAAGAGCTGCGTTGATATACTCTCTTAAGATGAATCAGTGAATAGTCACTGATATCAGTTATAAGTATAGTACTGAGCACTGAAAGTGCAACACTTATAACTGCAAATCAGTATATATTCACTGTTTTCAGTGATGTTTCACTGATTCATTTTAAGAGAGTAGTTACCGATTAAATCGCGATCATTGAATCAATTGATAATCCTCATCACAGCAAGTATATAATTCGTTCAATCGACTAAACGTTCGCTTGAATAAATTTTATTCGTTCAAGGAAGAGCTTCACTAACTCAACCTTTTTTTCAGTAAAAACAAGATAAATGAAGTCGTAGTTCAATCAGAACCATTTTGCATAATAAGCGCGAACAAGCAGACATGATAGATTAAAATGAAAAAAAAACATGTGAAAAAAACTCGCATGTGATATTTCATTTTTTACAGACTTCCACCTTTGGTATACGTTTTATAAAACTGGAGGGATAACTTGGAATCAGAAACCCTAATACGAAAATCTCGAAGCCATATAGCAGTTTTTCAGATAATAAACGATTAAAGTTGATAACGCTTAAATACCGTATAATATATAGTGGAAATAAAAGTATGTATACATATGTCGTTTCATTTTCCATAAAATTGCTTATACGATATATTTATTGAAATAACGACGAACTTATTATTATGGCATACATATATAATTTTTATATCAATAAAGAAACATATGTGCACCTTTATCACTATACATTCTACTGTATTATACATTAAAGAGACACTTGGATAAGGAACAAAGTCACAGGATTATACAGGTGTTCTCGCACAAACTGCAATCGAGTAGAATTCAGTAAAATCTAATCAGATAAAAAATCGCCAATCTTGGCATCCTCGCAGTAGGATTTCTGTCTCAAAATTATTCAAGGATTTTCCATAAAAAGGGAAACATCCTGTATATACACGCATTTTCGTCTAATTAAACGATTAGTATGAGGTGATTTTCCCATCGCAAATTACATTACTTAAGAATCTCATTAATTTGTTATACCAAGTAAGGACTAAGGCGTTTCCAACGACGAAGTTCGCGTGTCTTGTTGCCTGAAATGTCAACGTTAAACTTGATATAAGTCGCGGTCGTTGATTATCAGTTTTGCATACCTTCTAAGAATGAACGCCATATAGCGTTACACTTTATCAATATTTACTTCGGTCTCCTAGTTCCACGGCGTGTATGCATACAGGATCCATGAATATATGCGGGGAGGTAGTTGGCTGTGTGTGTGTGCAATAGCCGAGGCAAGACTCCTTTGTTTCTTAAGAGAAGCATCGATTGAGGTCGCGTTGCGAAAAGACGTAGTCACGAAATTGGATGAGCTCTCCTGGATCATGATATAGAACGGAATCTAGCTTCGTCGTAACACGGTGTCGGCAGCAATCTGTTACAACCTTTAATCCCTTCACACTTCAGATGTGTTACGCACTCTCATTCCTCGGAGGAGATTTCGTCAGACGTTGGAAAGGATTTCGGATTTTTCCGATCTATCTTTCGTGTATCTGTTGTTTGTTTGCTTCCTTCGCTTTTTTCTTTATTGCCCTGAATATACGCTTGGGGAATATACGTTTGGGGGTTTGTCGTAATGAACAGCTATGGAGGAACAATGTCGCCGTTCTGCAGTCACTGAAACCTTCGAGGCCAAAAGTATATCCATCCGGTAACGTTGGGCCATAAAAAAGACGCTATGGCTCTTTTATCGCGCTGTGCTCGATACACGTTTTCGCTATCTCTCCTGGGAGATGGTCAACGAGAGATTTTATATAGAAATGCTTTACGACGCTGCGAACGGTTCAACGCAATGAAAGTTGGATACATTTTTTAACGGAAATATATCCGTAAATATCGGCCCGAGCGAACTCGCGGTACGACTTCGAACGTAGCGTGCGGGAACCTCATTGGAATAGAAGATTCTTAATTTCAGGAAGATACGAAGTCCTAACGAAAGAAGGTACACGATCGATTATACGGTGGCTTTTAATGGCTTCAAGTAGTCTCGAAATTCGGAGTCGGTATTATATAACGCGTAATACATGTAGCGCGCGCGTTTATATGTGTACACATACACCTTTATTACAATAAGCATATTCGTGTTTAGAATATGTACTATATACGCTATACAAACTGTATTATATATACTGTACATTAGATGTATCAAGAGAGCATAATAATACATTAATTAAACCTTTACCCATAATTATCACGCGTCCCTCGCGCGTATCTCTTGATTAAGATCGCTAGGATTTCTTAAAAATACGACTGGTCTACTTTACATATACGGAATTTATGCAACATGTGGTGAGCAAACAATAAAGAGACGTTCTTGGACATCGTCTGATTTTCTTCGAGAAACTTTGAACCACCTGCGAGCGGGCGGTAGTGCGCTAAACACATAGTGGAGAAAAGCTCAATTTGTATACCGTCGGTGTGCGAAACTGATTTTGAACTTTGACTTATGCTGGAGTTTTTAATCAATTTCTACGTGAAGATTGATAAATTAAAATAGATCAGTCATTCTTAGAAATGTCCTGATCTATATGTGTATTAGAAATTGATTAAAAATCCTAGCTCAAGTCGAAGCTTAAAATCAGTGGCGCACATCGACAATATACAGATTGAGCTTTCCTCCACCACGTGCACCATCGCCTGCTCGCAGGTGGTTCAAAGTCTTTCAAAGAAAATCGGACGACGTTCGAGGACGTTTCTTCATTGTTTGTTCGCCACAAATTGCATAAATTCCGTATGTGAATATATGTACAAATTGCATTGCGCAAATTACGTACACGAATAGTACACTAACAGACACAGTAGCTTTAACACATTATCCTGGCAATCACAAGGCTCGTAATGTCAATCATAAGATGAGATACGAATGTATCATACAACTTTTTTCAGCAATTTCTAAGTCCTTGCTATCAAGATACAAAAACATTAGGTTTTCATCGTGTCTAATTAAAACTAATCAAAATGTTAATTTTGTTGGTTAAAAAATATAATTTTGTAATTATCATATGAACAGAACAATTTCAGATCTGCAGACTTGAATTTTTAGTCTTGTAAATTTTATTTTCTTCTTTTGAAATAAAAGTGAATGTTTAATTACACAGAGAAGTTTATTAAAGATAATCATAAAAATTATAATGGCACAAAACATTCACATAAGTGCTAAAGCATTGAAGTTACGAATATATAACAAATATATATATTCATATATTCAAAGTTACAGCATTTATATGAACGTAATGCAATTGTTTAGCCCACACTGCAAATTCAAGTTCATAGGTTTGCAAATTGTGACGTTCTATTCATAAAGTAAATACAAAAATGTGTTTTTAATCAATAAAATTAATATTCTCATTAGTTTTTATTATTATTATAATGCTGTTATAATATTACTACGTATTTGCGACCTGTGACAGTTCACGAGATGCGAAAAGCGTAATGATTTCTTCAAAACTAAGACAAAAATTCAACTGATAATTACTGCGAATTTGGAATGATATGTACGTATAATTGCTCATATTACTTGAGCAAGTACATACATATAATTACCCTATATACTATTCAACAAAATGTACCGTTTAGGTTATGCCCATACCCCACCTTGTCATTTTCGAGTTAAGTTATGCCATTTTAAAACTTCTCGTAAAAAATACATTATGAGCTTTAGAAAAGAGCAATTGCATATGATAAGGCTAGGCCAGTCTGTGTACCAGCGAAAGTCTAACGTGTGAGTGAGGTATTATTCTTAAACGTTCTTCATAACGCCGCTCATGATCGTCAGTCACTTTACAAGCTTGGTAAATGCAGGCAGTACCTCACCATCTCCGAGTTCTTATAGATGAAGAACAGTATGCCGAAGTAGAAGAGGAATTTCGTGAGAAGATGGACAACGTACATTCTGAAATAAGTGTGTGTCACAAAAGACTCCAATATGAGTTCTTAAAGTAAGCTGAGAAAGTTGATGTTAATCTTTCCGCTGCAGTAATTGTGTGTACATGCTGTCAGGTACTTTTAAACACAGAAAAAACAAGAAAGAATTATTTTAAGTAAAGAATACTCACGTTGCCTGATGCCGACGAGCTTTAGGCAAACTAGACAAGCTCTCTTTCATACAGTACTGCCGCGTGCCAAGTATAACTATCTTCATATATTCTCTGATGTTCATTGAAAAAACGAGTGGGAAGATTTTTTTATCCTCTGGCGACGATTCCTCGCGTATAATTTCTAATTTGGTATTATCAAATACCCAATTCCTCATGGTGAAATATTGCAATACCTCTAGGCCGGTTGAAATTCGCTTCTGAATTCTGACCATACTATTTGATATGCGCGAATAATGGTTACAAAATGTTATCTAATTACTCACAAATTCTTGACATGTAAACAGACATCCAGCTGATAAAAGCACAATACTTACAATCTTTTTTGTAGAAATATCAGCATCAAAAAGTCGATCAAGTACGCGGGAATGATGTGGAAGAAGAAGACCAATAGATAATGTATAAATTTGTTAGTATGCACGTTTCCACCCGGATACCAGGCTTGTCCTTCGAAAGGATATTCGTAACAGATGCTTTTACTTATTTTTAATATATCACCCCAGGTGACATGTACGTGATCGTTATTCACTGCATTGTACACTGGTATACTTTTCGGCCTGATGAGAAATAAAAAAAAGTTGTAATTCTTGGAGCAATATTCTGTATATAATAGTTTAAGTTGTCGACAATTTTTTAGAATGCCTCTTAAATATTACAAGGTGAATCTTCCAATATAAATATTCAGAGGGAGATAGACAGAGACAGAGAACTAAGAGGTAGGATAGGGAAATTGTCAGAAAAACAGCCTGCATGTTACGAACGCAAAGTTCTATAGAAGAAATGACGTTTCATTGCTGCAAAAAAAAAAAAGAAAAAGTTAGGTCACACAGAAAGTAAGTACTCACTTCTGTTGGGTAGCCACTTTGTGGGAGATATTGATTAAAAAATTAATTACTATGTCAACCGGAATAACTTCAGCTTGATACTGGGTATTGCATAGCATCGTTCTGAGGACACCCTTGCTTGCAGCGACAATTATTCCAGTAGGGCCGTTCAAATTGTCGACCCATCCCGGCAACGGCTCCGCCATGGCAGGAATTACTGCACGAAGGGATAGAAAAAGAAAATTAATCGAACGAATTGTTTCGTCTTGTTGCATATGATATGCTATCCTCCCTCTCAATTATCAAGAATTAGTTGAACGATCTGTTCTCTCTTGTTAGATATTTGCTATTTCTGATAATTATCGAAATACGTATAATTACCTATTGATGGCCTAGCGATGACGCAAGGTAGATTGGGATATTCCCTAGTCACTAGCGTTTCAGCTAAACGCTTCGTGTAAATATAAGTATTTGGAAACGGACCCAATAGTCTAAGATTAGGAAAAGAAACGAGCGCACAAAAGATTATTTCTGACATATTTATGAGTACTGTGTGATACTATGTGATATCTGGAATTAATTGTTGCCGCTGAATATTGTCGAATATAAATTCAATTACTTGGGTGTAAGTAGATCAATGGCGCTCTCGTCCATCCACTCCACGAGTCTCATGATGTCATTTGGATCGTGAGGGGCGTCATAAGCGATTTCGTCAACTCGCTCTTGCTCGACCAGACAGAAGGCCGTGCTCAGGTGCACGAACACCTGCAGGTGTTTGATCTGCCTAGCCAGATCCAGTACTTTTCTCGTACCAATCTTGAAGATTATCAGATCGAACCTTGTTTATATTATATACAAATCGTAAAAAATCATATATTTTTAAGAGCTCAGCACGTATCGTAACTAAATCTATCGTTCTGCTACCTGTTCATTGTAAATTTTTATGTTCATTGTCAATTAGTACTTTCGTTATCATATAATGCATAATATCAGGGACAGTTTCGAACAAGTCGGAGACTGTTTTTAGAATAAATAATTCGCCGAATAATTAAGATAAATTAAAATCATGGATAACAATGTAGGTACATGGGTTAATCGCGTATATGGTACAAAAAGCAGGGGCTGTATTCTGTATACATTTACCGACAACTATTGATTCAGCATATGTTGCTATTTTATAATATGATTATATCTGCACAACAACACAAATTGAACCGACAGTTGCTGGTAAACAAGTATGAAATAGTCGTCCAGAGCGGATTTAACGTTTAATGAATTTCATTTGTAAAATTCTAACATTCTATTTATAAAATTCTAATATCTTTAAGACGATCAAGTTTAAGGGGATGCTGGAGTCGATGACGAACTCGAACAATGTCGATAATGTAGAGACGATCGTCACTAATATAATCACGCTATTCTTTTCGTATTTCTTGTATATACATATAGAACTTACATGAATATGTTTTCGACACATATCGAGCAATGCTCCTATTTATTTTTGCACGTATTTTCATTGCGTAAAAGCATTTGTAATTCTGCGTAACCAATACGATTGTAAACTTCGCAAAAAAATGTCAGTATTCTGTCGATAAAGTTTTTAGCTTCAGCATCCTCTTAACGCGCGCGATTATTAATCTCTTCTTGTGAACGCATATATGAGCTTAAAGTTCATCGTGATTCCACGATGAATATCTTCCAAGTCTCTCATTTACATATTGCTTTGTCAGCTTCTTGACATTAGTTTTAATGGGAAGCTTTATTAGTTTACACTGAGAACACTAATTTATCTATGTCGCACTTACTACGTAACGTCTCTTACTACTATCGAGATTCATCCAATTTTGTAGCATTGCTCGATACTCAAAAAATTAAAGACTAAATGAAGTTAAAGAATAATTAATGAATCGCACGAGAGAGCACAAGACGACACTCTTTCGAGTGATATCTTACCGTGTTAAACTCGACGGAATCTTTCAATTTCGCCTCCAATCGAAGAGATGCGGCAAAATGGAATACTATGTGCACCTCGTTCATCAGCGTCTTCCGTTGTTCGTCGGTAAGACCAAGATTGTACATAGTTAGATCACCATTCAGCGGCAATACTTTCTTTAAAACGTGACGTTTTTCTTGACATATTCTGTGGAACATCTGTGAAAACACAATAAAACAATAAATTGTCAATCATCGGCGCACGTGTATGTATTTGTCATTTGAACTGTGCAAAATAGTGCTTGGCTTTTAATCCAGTTTCTGAACTCGGTACAAATAATTGTTACATTGAATAATCGATTTTGTAACCGATGCGTAATTGTATAAATAAATATATTTCATTCATTTCTAATAGTATATGTTAAAAATTATAAATAATTTATCATGTAACTGTAACAAATATGAAGAGAGTACCATTTCGTGCGAATCAAACGATTACTTGAATAGGTTCACAAATCGATTTCGAAGTCGGTTATTCCGATGTAACGATTACTTGTACCGATTCCAGAAACAGGCTTCAGAGCAAAGTACCATTTTACACGGCTCTAGTCAATCGCTCTTTAGTTTCATAATTATTAAAATGTCTTACGGGCAGCTTGAACATGTTATCGATCCGAGATTCGATATTGTGTCCTTTCTTAGGTCGTATGAGGATGTAGATTTTGTCGAGATCGGAGCAGCTGTATAGCAACTTCTCCAAAAGTACCTTCCCCATGAAACCAGAAGCGCCAGTAATAAAAATGGTCTTTCCTTTGTAGAAGGATTGGATTGTGGTCGTTGGTTTGTTCATGGTTGTGCTTTGAAACGTCATGCGTCTTTAAAGGAAATTTACGACTTAATAAAGTGGCACAAAATTGCAAGATTGACAATCTGAAAAAGAGCAAAAGGGGAATACGAGTAAGTGAGCGAGTGAGAGAAAGAAGGTACCCATGTCGAAGTTTTGGCTTTACATAGCGCTTTGAATTCTACAACGCAATGTTAGCAAAGTAGATTTAATTCTAATGATGCAATGCAATTAATTTACAATTATTATTTATAATTGTTACTTAACATACATATATAATATTATAAAACATTTGACGTTCCTTCTGTTTTAAATTTGTGAGGAAATATAGAAAAGTATAGTGTATCAATGTGCGCGACTTTTAAATTTAATAGTATCATGTATCACGCAACTGAAAAGTCAGCAATTTAAGCATTAAAATTAAAAAACAAAAAAATTGATAAAATCATTTTTTAAATTTAAATGAAATAAACGTAAATAGATTGCTCTTTATAACTAAAAAAAAGATTGTGACTAAATTAAAATTATACATAAAGAAACTGCGAAATAATACACATCTTGACATCTACACCTCAACGAGTCTTGTGCATTTCCGAGTCAAAATTTTGGCTGTATATTAAATTTCGAATTTTACAATAGAAACTAAGTTAATAAAGTAGGTTTTAATTCTAAGTTTTAATTCTAGTGATATAATTTGCTCCTACTTTAATTAAAATCATTAATCAAAATTTTAATGATGTCCGAAATTTCTCTTTTTACTTTACTTTACCGTCAAAATATTTTAATAATTATTTTATTATAAGCTTCAGAATATTAAAATAAGTTCAATGGAACAGAGACGTTGAGAATAGGATTAAAATTTCGACTCGAATAGGTTAAATAGAACTAAAATAAGCTGATGTAAATTTCAGCGTTTTAAAATAAGAGTTAAATGGAATAGTAACGCTAAAAATAGAATCAAAATTACGATTCAGGTTGTTTGACATATACAAAAGAACTAGTTTTCTGAAATTATCGACTTGGTGGACAGTTCAATTCGAGGTCTCAGTAGCGTAAACAAGGAGGGTGAGGAGGGATAAAGGGGCTGCAGCCTCGAAATTAATTTTCTGGGTTACGCTAAGTGTGAGAAAAATTTTTTCGAATGACTATTCTTGGTTAAAAATAAAAAGTACAGCCCCCCCACCGAAACTTTTTTCTGGCTACGTTACTGCGATGATGATGTAACTTTGCGCTTGATCTCAGCAAAATCGTTTATCTATCTGCGAAATCTAATTTTCTCTCGGTTATAAATCGATAATAGAACGATACGATGGAAACGAAATAGTCAAATGCGAAATATCGAGCACCTATCGATAAAACTCTGCATGTTCTGAGTTAATTTTTTGTATCACTTACGGTCTATGCAACGTTGTTTTCCGCGCACTTCCGTGTTCGAGAATCTACAAGAACTGAATCATTTGAATGCCGCTCGTGAACTCATTGAGTCGTGGAAATGTTGCAGTTTTATAGGTTGACATATCGACCTTCCTCCTCGTTTTTTTATTTCACTCACTCTTTACGTATTTCTCTCTTTCTCTCTCTCTCTCTCTTTTCTTTTGCTGCACTGCACGTGCTGCATATTTTCAATAATGACTATCTCGTATTAACTACGAGATTCGAATAAAAACGTTTCCGCGAAATGATCACTTCTTAAATAGAAATATAGCATAAACAGAAACATAGAATTATTGCTTATAAATACAGGAATAATCGGACAGAAAGGAAACTGTCGTTAACATTTGTACGTTACATTGTGGAATTGTCCCAGACGAACGATTAGCAAACTCCGTTTGGTATTAAGATGTTACGAAATAGTAACCTGGTGATCGACAATCAGCTCATTCTTACTTTGTCTAGTCTGTCTGTCTAAAGAGTATCTCTCTGTCTAAAGAGTAATTTACAAGCGATCCAGCAGTAATAGACAGGATAAGAATACGTCATGGACATTTGTGTGCTACACTGTATATTTTGCAGTAAGCGGTAATTATTAACTCACCATTATTAATTATTAGCGAAAGACCTGCTTCTCTTCAGCTGATATACATCGTTGCTAGGAGATTTTAAAAAGTAACAAATACATCATTTTTACAATATTATTTTTATTTTACTGGAATTTTTCATTAAACTTTTCTACAGAGTCCGTCTTGCCATATCCCATGTGCTTATTCGCCCAAATGGTTTAATAAATTTCTTAATAACTATTGTGAAATTAGTAAAATGATACATAACTCCCCTATCCCGCTGTGTGGTCGGAATTTTCCGACATCCTATATAAACAAGAAAATGTCCTTTGTGACGGTATAACTTTTATATTATCATCCAATTTAATTGCGGGCAGCTGTTAGTTTTTTATATTTTAATATAAAAACGTCTATAAAATGAATTATTCAACAATGTAAATGTGCAGGAGAAGCAAAGCGGACTGCATATCATAAGAATACAAGACTATCTAAGAATCGTAAAGACATAACGTTTGGTTGCAACTTGAAATTTCATGAAAGTATAATTTCTAATTGAACTTTCTTGTGTATTTGCACACTTATCTGATTACCTTCCTCATACGGAAAAATACAAATAATAATAGCAGGTATAATAAAACGGATCAAAAATACTTGTTCGATTATAACTTCAACTGCACGCGCGTAATATATCCGTTTTCGCAGATAATGGCAAAAAGTGAAATGAATATTCGGATACATACGCTTCTGATACAATAGCGAATGAGTGTTCGCACGAGAGTTTTTCATGCGCTCTTATACGTTAATATTCAGTTAAAAAGTATTTCTCAATCACTTTTTATGATATATTTCTCACGAGATAATTTTTCTTGTTGGATGTGTTGTGAAATATGTCGAAAGAGATTATTTCGCACACACAGGTATGCATACGCGACATCATGTATGTCTAGCCGTCATAATTAGCGTGACGTATATAATCTTCGAACTCTTGTGCTAACACACGGCGATGAGATTGAAAACAAATTACTCTTGTAATTGCTAGGTAAACATTTCATATTCCGAATAAACATCGATTTCCCGATTAGTGGGAACGGGGCTGCAACCTTTTCTTCTGAGCTCACAAGCATTCTTAACCATGTACAAACAGAAATTCATATTCCGATACGAAAATTTATGCCACATTCACGATCGCGTGTCGTCAGTGCGAAATAGCCGTTAGTGCGAAGATAATCGAGACATGGTCATATGGCGACTGTCGCAGTAAGCTCAGGCTTGTGTGAGCGTATGTGTATTCGACAGAAACAATTTTTCTCTCAAAAAATCTTCCTACTATTTTTATTTTTCTTTCTCACTCTTTTTCCAATAAAGTCTTACATACCTAAATTTTCAATAAAGTCACAATAACTCAAGCGCTTATATGATATTGATCAACGATGATTTAAAACTACTAATTGTTAAACTTGTACACCTTTGCCAAATCAGAACAAACATCCAAAATCAGCATGCATTTCTATATTGTCGAGAACTGACTATCTGCACATCACGGTCCCACGATAGTCGCTCATCTGTATTGTCGTCGCGATTAAACAACACAAGTTTCCGTATAATTGATCACTGAAAGACACTTAGGTCTCATTATTCCACATTTCGTATTCACATTGCGTTTATCTCGCATTGTTTCAAGCTAGAATGTCCGTTAGATGTCCGCGCATCTCATGAACATATATCCGAAGGATAAAAATTTTTATTCGCGAAGCCTACGCATTAAATCTATTACTTATAGACAAAACCTGTTATGCAAATTATATTATAATCGCTTGAATGAATTGAAATAAATATTTGCTGTGTGTAGGAAACACTGTATACTATGAATATTTTAACGATACGTGCAAGTGCCATTATTCAGTTGATACATTTATTTTGAGAACTTAGTGATAAGCGAATATGAATAAAGGTCGTATTACCTTGAAAAGTATAGTGTAGTATTTTTAACCATTTTTACTTATTTTAAACCTTTGATGTATTAGTCGACGAAACGCAGGTCTCTCAATACGTTTTGGCGATAACGTTGTTAGGACGTTAATTCCATACTTTTTACTCAGTATGCGTAGATTGTCGAAAAAAATTTAATAAACTCTGAGGTTATTAAATTTTTTCTCTATTGATTCCACTGTGTCCGAGTGCCTTCATTGTCATTTAGTATTATCGATTCTCGTAAACTTCTCATAAGAAATATACTATGAATTTTAGAAAAATGTCATCTCATACGTGTTAAAGCTGTTGTGTCGATCTGTGTACCGGTGAAAGTCAATCCAGCGAATTAAAATATCAGAATACGTTCTTTACGATATCAATCGGCAATAACTTTATTTATTGGATAACAAAGCCCAGACTGTATTTCATTTTCTCCAAATTATTATTTGGAACATGTATAATATGCCAAAGTAGAAAAAGTATTTCGTGAGCAGATGGACAATGTATATTCTGAAATAAATGCGTGTCATGAGAGAGTTGTGTAAGTCCTCAAAGTAAGCTGAGGTCTAAGATACTCCCAAATTAACGAAAAAAATTAATAAAAAATTAATTTAAATAAATAATACATTGTCTGACGCCGAAGAGCTCTTGGCAAACTAGACAAACTCTCTTTCAGACAGTACTGCCGAGTCCCGAGGATAACATTCTTCACGTATTCCTTTGTGTCTAAACGTTATAAATTAATTTGGAACGTCCTTTGATTTTCTGACATTTCGTTGCACATAATCAATAGTTTAGTATTGTCAAATGTCCAATCTCTCATGCCGAAATATTGCAATACACTTAAGCTGTTTAAAATACGCTTTAGGATCTTGACCATACTGTTTGAGATGTATTATAAAAAAAGAGAAAGGTAATATTATATAGTTAAGTATTATCAAACGTCGATATGTCAACAGACATCAAACTGAAAACGTGTTACACTTCCAATCTTTTTCGCCGAAATATCAGCATCAGAAAATCGATTAGATACGCGGGAATGATGTTGAAAAAGAAGAGCGAGAAATAATGCACAAATTTGTTATTAAGCAGACTGCCATCCGAGTACCAAACTTGTTTTTTGAAAGAATATTGATAAATGATGTTTTTACCTATTTCCCACAGTTCACCTCACGTGATCGGTATAATGCCGCTCTGCGTTGTTGTACACTGGTATACGTTTTGTCCTATAGAGAAATTAAACAGGAACAATTGTAATTTCTGATGCGTTATTAAGATACTTTCGGTTGGGCTTAATATGTCGAGAATATTTTGAAATATTTCTTAACACATTTATAGCAGGTTTTTTATCTAGAACCCTTCCTACACACAAACACGTGATTTTATATTTTTATGTAAATGTGTAAAAAAAAAGTAATTCGATAATATTAGGACAAGGAAGAAAAATTTTTTCGTTCTCTGGCACATATGACGTTGATTTCTTATCGTTCTATTATGGATACGAGGTTACGTCCTCATACGACTTAAGAATGGATGCAGTATTGAACTACGCCTCGACGATATATTCAAATTACCCGTAAGATATCTCGCTAATTATGTGTCACCGTACCTTAGCTTTGGCGTATTGGGTAAGTGACAAATATCGCGCTGTTACGCTTGATCGAGAATGTAGAATACGTCGAAACTCAAGAATGGTGATAACATATGCATACATGTAGACGTCGACGATTGAATCGTTGTGCTATTGACTGTTCAGATGTTCCACCGAATACGTCTAGAGAAAGGTCACGTCTTAAAGAAAGTGCAGCCACTAAATGGTGACATAACCATGCATAATTTGAGTTATTGATCAAAGAAAATTTGTGCATGATTACGCGACATATAGTAGATGAGCTTTGATAGCGATGTTTACGGCTGCATTCTTGTATATTAGCGAGTTTTATGATTGTTGCAAACTTTATTTGCTTGTCAAACAAAACAAGTACGCTAATATTCTGAGATCGTCAGATCAATAGTCCGACAGATCAGTTAAAGTTTGATGTAACTGTGCACTCCAGCCGATTTGGCATCTAATCGTCTGTCTTCCATCGGGGAAAATTTATATACTTATTAGCACAAATGTTCAATAAATATCCTAAGAACATTCTAAGAATATTCGAATATTTTTAGAATATTCTTAAGATATCTAGTGAACATTTGTGCTATATGGGTTATAGATCCTCAGAAAGATTTTGACGAGGACAGACAATGGAACGACAGGAATGTTAGATAGATGCGAAATATCGAGTACCTGTCGACGATTCTCCATGCGTCTCGACTTAGTCCTTTGAACCAAATGCAATTGGCTCGATATTGGTCAAATATCCTTTTTTGCGTTTGAAAATCTGTGAAACTTGACCTGATGACACGTGTAATGCTCATAAAATTATTAAGGTACTCCGTAATTCGCTCTGAAAGTTATACTTTTATATGAGAGTTTGCCTACTCCTTCCTCTATCTCTCTTCTTATTTACATGTAATGTTGCAATTAAGTTTTTGCGTCCCACATGTCTACTTTGGTTTACAGTTCGGTATAAATTAATAACTTATGTACAAAACTTTGTAAAAAATAAATTTATGAGATATTTATAATATTAACGAACGTAGTTTTCGCAGAAGAATATGATGTAGATTTCCCAAAGATTAGAGAATCAAAGTTGTAAAATATTACTCCCCGTCATATCTTTTTACGTAATATTTATTCTTAACAACGTAGAATAAGATAAAACAAACAATCGCACGGTTTGCAATATAAAAGTGGCACATGTGCTAACGTGTCAATTGCTAAATATATTTATCCTCTATTATAATTTCTAGTTGTAAGTTTAAATTAAATATGTAATAATAAGGTAACTATTCCGCGAAAAGAAATTACGTGCGCTAGAAATTGATACATGCGATTGTAATCATTAATGCATATTTATAACACACCTAGACTTGCTTTAACGACACAATTATAACTTTATCGTGGCACACACACACACACACACACACACACACACACACCGCACGCACGCATGCACGCACGCACGCACGCACGCACACGCACACAAACACATACACACACACACACTCCTTGCAAAAAACTTCTATTACGTAACTTTATGTACTTGCTGTTCTGGTTTACAGGAATAATTAAAGGAATGAACTGCAAAATTTACTTTGAGAAATTTATTTACTTAAGAAGTGATTTCATTTAATAAGCAGAATATCAGAACTGAGGCACATTAATAATATATACATTAATAATATAATCTGAAATTAGTTACATTTAAAAATCCCATTACAACAATGTTACAATACTTTTTAAGCTGTAGACGATTTACTAATTACGTTGTAATTTCGTAAGTAGATTTCTACATGCGTATCGATCCGTCGTGTACAGTTTATTATCCGTTATTTTTACAGATCAAGAAACATAAAAATTAGGTACTAGTGTTTCTAGTGTCCAAACATTAGTATTTCTTAATTTTAATATTAGTATCTTAAAACGTAATAAACATAATACGAGCGCTTGTTCTTGTAAACTTCTCGTAAGAAGTATACCATGTATTCATATACCAAAAATTCTAAAAAAAATGTCACTTTACACTTGTTAAGGCTGTTTTGTCGAATTCTGTACTGGCGGAAGACAAACAAGCTAGCGAATATTAAAATTAAACGCTCTTCACAACATCACCTACGATCGGCAATAACTTCATTTGTTGGATAGTGAAACTGAGACCGTACATCATTTTCTCCAAGTTATTTTTTTTTAACTAACAGAAATATTTGAAAGGCCTATCCTCCCACTATCGTATTAATATTATTAAAACAGTATTAATATCTAATGGCACTAAGACATCCGTGCTTGGCTCCTTATAGGCCTTCCAAATATTTCTCTTAGTTAGACAAAAGGAGCTTTCTATAACTTCTATTTACTTTTTTCTAATATTATGTATAATATACCAAAGTAGGAGAAATATTTCGTGAGTAGGTGGACAGTGTACATTCTGAAATAAGTGTATGTTAAGAGAGTGGTTTAAGTAAGCTGAGAAAATCTCAAATACATCCGAACACAAAGATAAAAAAATTAATTTAAATAAATAATACTCACATTGTCTGACGCCGACGAGCTTTTGGCAAACTAGACAAACTCTCTTTCATGCAATACTGACGAGTACCGAGGACAACAGTCTTTAAATATTCCATTAGGTCTAAATGTTCTAATTCAATTTGAAACGTCTTGCGATCTTCTGGCGACATTTCATTACGCATAGTCAATAGTTTAGTATTGTCAAACATCCAATTCCTTAAGGCAAAATATTGCAGTACATTTAAACCGTTTAAAATACGCTTTAGGATCCTGACCATACTGTTTGACATGGGCCATGAAAAAAAGAGAAAGTGTTATATAATTAAGTATTTCCAAAATGTCAACAGACATCGAACTAACGTGCAACACTTACAATCTTTCTCGCCGAAATATCAGCATCAGAAAATCGATGAAATACGCGGGAATAATGTGGAAGAAAAAGAGCAAAAAATTGTGTACAAATTTGTTAGTATGCGGGGCGCCATCTGGGTACCAAGCTTGTCTCTCGAAAGGATACTGGTAAACAAAATTTTTTGTTATTTCCAAAATTTTGCCCCACGTGGCCCGTATGGTGCCACTCTGCGTTATGTTGTACACTGGCATACGTTTTGACCTGTCGAGTAATTAAACGGAAAACAATTATAATTCTTGATACGTTATTAACTTGATACGTTAGTTACTTTCGGTTGGGCTTAAGATATCGAGAATGTTTTGGATCCTTTAATAGATTCACTGCCAGGTTCTTCATCGAGAACTCTCCAAATACTAACTCGTAACTTAAATTTTTCAACTGAAGATATAAAAGAAAATTTTTTCCATAACATGAGAATGACAAAGAAGACAAGAAAAAAACACTTTTTCCTTTTCAGATATCACAGATATCACATTGGTCCTTCATAAGTGATTATTATATCATGGATAACATGCTGATAGCACACGTGTAAAATATCCCAAGGTACAATCTTTAATTTAAACATTTAAAGAAAGCAAGGTAGAAACAAAGAGATATTAGATTAAATAAGATTAAACTAGAGCTTACTTCATTCTGGCAGAGGAGAAGCGAAGGAAAATAGGTAATAGAGAAGCAGTTCAAATATTACAAACGTAAAATTCTACGAAGTTGACAATTTTTTGTTATCGCAGAAAAATAAAGAAAAAAAGAAGTCTTAAAAGAAGTAGGTACATACTTCTCTTGGGTAGCCACTTTGTGACTGATTCCAATGACGGCGTTAATTGCAAAGTCGACTGGTATTATTTCAGCGTAATGTTGTGTGTTACAAAGCATCGTTCTGAGGATACCTTTGCCCCCAGCAACGAGTATCCCAACAGGACCATTCAAATTGTCGACCCATCCTGGTACTGGCTCCTTAACGGCAGGAGTTACTACACGAAAAAATAAAAAGAGAAAATAATCAATTTAACGATTTGTCCCCTTTTGTTATATATAATTTACTATTTTTGGCAATTATCGAGATATATATAATCACCTATTGACGGCCTGGCAATGACGCAAGGTAGGTTAGGATATTCCCTAGCCACCAGTATTTCAGCTAAACGCTTCGTGTAGGTGTAAGTATTCGGTTGCGGTCCCAATAATCTGCGATCAAAAGAAGAGATAAACCCACAATCAAAGAACTGCGAAATATCTAGCCCTCCCCTGCTCCCAGTACGATGCACACATTAATTCTAAAACATCACTCTTCTTTCGAGCCTCGATTTCAACACTTTGGGCGTAGTGCACCTAGCCATTTTCAACTACAAATATTTCTTCGGCATATGGGTATCTTTTAACATTTTTTTAATTGGAACATTAAAATGTTAGAAATACACTTATAGCATTAATTGCAATTCAGTCATTATAAATACAAGTTAATTAATATGTAAAAAAACCGAATAGAAATTTCCTTAATCAAAAAGCCTATTTGCTTGAAAATTTATAGTATTTTGTGTAACGCTGTATAAATCCAAACGCTATTTGACAAAAAAAAGGATGTAGAAAAAAATTAAAAAAAAAAAAATAAGACTGCGATTTAAAAAAATATATATATTTTTTTTAGAAAATTTTAGCGTCAAGATTGATTTCAAAATCACCTCCTACATTTGTTAAACAGCATATAGAACTGCGCAGTTCATCGACACTTGTAGAGGGGAAGATAAAGTTTTTTATCCTCCAATTCTACATTTCACTATATGGAAACGCCGCGCGTTTCAACAACAGCATGGATATGTTACACTCGAATGTGATGTTCTAGAGTCGTCCCATAAAAGTTTGTTTCTGATATATTAAAGAAAAGTTCATTCCTGATATATATATTCATATTGATTCCATTGCTTTCGTTGCGAGGTTAAAATCTCGCGATTTATTTTATTGCAGTTAACTTCTTGTATTAGACTCACCTCTCTCGGATGTTTCAAATGAAATTGTACAACATGTCTCATATACATAGTGTTTTTGTTTTTGCAAACATAAGTAAGCTTTTGTCTTCTCTAAATACTTAAATATATGCATATGTTTAGTATGGGCGACAATTAAATGCCAATGCAACACAACATTGATGCTCAACCTAGAATCGACCATTCGCTGAATATTGCTAATTAAGTGCAATTACTTAGGCGTAATCAAATCGACGGCGCTTTCGTCCATCCACTGAACGAGTCTCATGATGTCGTCAGGGTCATGCGAAGCGTCGTAGACCGTCTCCCAGAGTTCCTCCTGGTCTACGTGACAGAAGGCCGTGCTCAGATGCAGGAACACCTGCAGGTGTTTCATCTGCTTTGCCAGATCCAGTACCCTCTTCGTGCCAATCTAGAAGAGTACAGATCGAAACATGTATATTTCATACACATCACAAAAATCGCAAAAATTCGTTAAAGCTTTGCACTTGGTACTCAAAGGGTTAAAAATAATTAATAAAGCGCACGAGAAAGCGCATTAGGAGGTATTTTTTCGAGTTATATTTTACCATGTTTAACTCGACGGCATCTTTCAATTTCGCTTCCATTCGAAGACATGCGGCGAAGTGAAATACTATATGCACTTCTTCCATCAGTGTCTCCCGCTGTTCATCGGTAAGGCCAAGATTATGCATATTTATGTCACCGACGAGCGGCTGCAATTTCTTCAAGACATGACCTTTCTCTTGATGTATTCTGTGAAATATCTGCAGAACAGTCAATAAACACAACGATTGTCAATCGATGACATCCACAAGTATGGATATGTCATCACCGTTCTTTGGTTTCGTAGCAACCTATATCCTTGATTAAACATAACAGCGTGATATTTGTCGCTCATCCAACATGTCGAAGCCAAGATACGGTGGTACATAATTAGCGGGATATCTTACAGGTAACTTGAACATGTCGTCGAGCCTGAGTTCGATACTGCGTCCCTTCTTAGGTCGTACGAGGAAGTAGATTTTGTCGAGATCGGAACAACTGTACAGTAGTTTCTCTAAAAGGACTTTTCCCATAAAACCGGTAGCGCCAGTAACAAAAATGGTCTTGTTTTTATAGAAGGATTGAATCGGGCTCCTTGTACCGTTCATGATCGTACGAAATATCACGCAAATTTGTAGCGGGTCTGTGCTATACTGCAAAAATGAACGATTTTTTTTAACAAATGAGTGACGTGCGAGAGTATAAAGAAATATAATTGTAATTTTGCAGCTTATAATATTTCTCCTATTTACTCTCAGCTTATGCACATAATGTGCAAAATGCATGCAAACCTCAAATAACTGAGAATTGCGTCGCATTTACTTCCAATTAGTATTTTGTAGCCTAACGGGGGTTTACCGGTTACACAATGATTCGATGTATACTTATGTAAATCAAGGTAAATCAAGATGAGATACAATTTATGTTTTTGAAGGAGAATGTCAAACGCGATAGAAATGCATAAGTACAGTGAATTTTATGACCGTCGCGAATTTTGTTTGTTGGCTGGTCGAGCTAAACAAGTCTCATATTCTGAAATCGTCGACTAGTTGGATAGATCAATTAAAAATTTTATGCACTTTATCTGGGCCAAATCGTCTATCTTTCATCAAGAAAAGCTACAAACTTACCAGTTATAGATCAGCAAGAAGTTTTTCTTGCGGACAAGCAATAGAACAACACGATAGTGACGTTACAGATATATGTTGCTTAAACGTCCTCTTCTGCGTTTGAGGATCTGTGGTGCTTGATCGGATCACATGTGTAAGGTTCACGAATTTACTAAGCTACTCCGTAATTCGCTCTGTAATTTATACTTTATACAACGGCTTGCTAACTCCCTCCTCTATCTCTCTCGCCACCAGTACGTGACGTCATAATACACCTATTTTTTCGCTTCTTCTAGTTTACTTTGATTTGTAATCCGATGTATAATGCAAATAAGTTATGTGGAAAACTTTGTGGAATATTAATCATTTATAAGATGTTTGTGATATTAACGAACATAGTTTCTGCAGAATATAAGTATGACGTGGGATTCTCTGAATTGAAATCAAAGTATTACAGTATAACTCTTCGCCGTGACTTTTTTTATATATTCATATCCAAGAATGTAAAACAAGGTCGCACCTTTAAGCGATTTACAACAAATAACCGATTTATAATTAAATGTTTTACGTGTGCCAATGTATCACTTGCTAAATAGATCTATCCTTTATTATAATTTGTGATGCAAGATTTAAATTAAATATGTAATAATATAGCAACTATTCCGTCCGAAAAGTAATTACGTTCGTTATAGTTGACACTCACGATTCTAAGATTCATATTAAGAACAGGCACGTTTAGTGTACCTTTATAGAACGCTTGAACTCGTTTTTATGACATAATTAGAATTTTATCGTTACAAGCACGCTCCTCAAACTGTGTAACTTGATGTACTTGCTGTTCTTGTTTACAAAAATAACTAGAGGAATGATCTGCAGAATTTACTTGAAGAATTTATTTATTTGAGAAATAACTTGATTTAATAAGCAGGATATACTAGAATTATCGTACATAATAACATACTTTGAAATTGAATTAAATTTTAAATTTGAAAATTCTATTACAACAATGTCACAACAGCTTCTGAGCTGTGAACAATTTTTTAATTATGTAGTAATTTTGTAAATAGATTTCTACATGCGCATCGATCCGTCGTGCACTAATTTGTTAGCTGTTATTGATTTTTACAGATCAAGAAACATGAACAGAATTATATAATTCTAATGACATGAAATAGAAAATGTTTATGTGTGTATTCGCATATTACCACATATTTCGCATATTTCTTTCCCTTCTTTCGTCATTGCATTTGATATTGTTTATAAATACGCGACTGGTCAGACAAGAGTAGACAGAAAAAAATAGAATAGAAATTTGCCATTGGAACTTGCTTGCTATACTGTAAACCTTGATTTCTCTCTCTCTCTCTCTCTCTCTCTCTCTCTCTCTCTCTCTCTCTCTCTCTGTCTCTCTCCTTCTCCTTTCTCTCTCTCGCCTTATGTATGTATTTTGCACAGTATGTATATCATTTTATTTCTTCCTGTTTTAAATATTTTCTCGTGTATATAGTCTGCAAAAAATATATATCTTGCAAAAAGTCTACCTTGCGTCCTATCATGACTTCGATTTATCGTTTGTTCAACGAAGTAACAGGAAATTAATTAAAAACAAGGATTCTAATCAGCTTCTAACATCCTTTTGCAACGTGTAATGTGTATTTTCGATAAAAGGTAGAATATATATTATAAAAATGTTGTAAAACAGAAAGTATTATAAAATAAGAGCTATTATAAAAACAAAAACAACTATGCATACGCAAATGCCTATAATATCCAGTTTCTTATCTATAATTGCAATCTCTTATCGCAAGATGTATATGTAGTATGATAAAATTAGTCTGTGTTATATTTTACAATGTATTCCTGTAAAATGCAATTGACGCATTTAGGAGAAAAATAATTCTTACCTCAACATCTAATGTAATTATTTATTTATACATTGTTAATTCCAGTCGAAAAAAGATGTTGTTTTATGAAAACGTCGTAGAAACATTAGCGCACTAATAAGGTCAGGGGAAGAGATAAGAGCTCTTGTAAAGTTGAGATATGGTAATATGAAGTTAATGAATAAATATTGGATGGATTATGAGGATAGGAAATGTGTGTTGTGCGACAAAGCTCAGGATGACATGAGACATTATATGCGCATGCATGTATACATGCGAGGTAAGGAGAGAATGGTTTGAGGAAATGGATAGGAAGGAAGAAGTAGGAAGGGAGAGGATATGGAATGATGAATTACATGAAATAAAAGAGAAGGTCCTAAAAAAGATTTGGAAAGTGAAGGAGAAGAAAATAAAAGGAAAAGGTGGATAGAACATAGAAGTAAGGGAAGATAAGATTTTAGTGATAAGAGGAGGAATGGGTAAAAGATAAAACGTCGTATTATTTAATATTATTATTATTTAGGTTTAAGATATAGTTTAGACATTTGTTAATTATTTTGTTAATTATTAGTTTCCAAGAAATACAAAGAACCAGGAAATATAAAAGGCAAATATGTAAACTGTATAAAAAGTGTATAGAAAGAGTATTTAAATTGTATAAATATGTAAAAATGTAGAAAAAGTATAAAAAAGTTGTGAAAGTGTTAAAATGATGTAATTTTATAAAGGTTTATATAATAGGAAATAGATAAAATTTAGTCAAGGTTTAGCGAAGAAACAAAGAAAGAGAGGTACAAGAAAGAGGTTGTATGGCTGTGTTAGTGGCTGTGAATATAATTTAAGTGTAACTTTGAAGCGAAAGAGAGGAGATACAGCAAGTAAGGTACGGATGAATGAATGGCTATGTGAATGGAGTTAAGTTTTTTTTATTGTAAACCAAGTTTCCTTCTTGGCTTGTAGCTAAATGGTAATAAACTACTACTACTACTACATTAACGCACTAATATCTGTTTTCGAATCGACTTCATTTAATCATTCGTACTTTTGATCGCCGAAATCGTTTACGTAAGTCGACTAAAGGTCGACTAATCTTAGATGAAGGCTCGAAAGTCAGAATGACCGGATAATATAGGGACAGCGTGCAATAAAGAGGCCGTTTTCATTGTTGGCTCTCCAAATTGTTTATTTAGCTTGATTAGCGATCCGGTCTGCGGATTAACTAGAACGTGTTAAGACAACATGGATGCTGCGTCTACAAGTGTCTCGGCTCGAGAGGAGTTACAGCGCACGCGAACCAAATTGAAGCAAAAACGAAATAAGAGAAGACAGTTCGGCTGAGCATCGGATTTAAAATCGACTATTTTAAGGCAATTTTTGGTAGACACACGCGTGCGCGGATTGATTGACAAGCCGCACGTGAAGATCAAGTGACAATGCAGACAATGTTTCCGCATGTTATTGACCGCATGATAGTGTTTCAAATCAGCTATCTTTTGTTTGTTCTAATGCTCACGTATCTTTTGCCAGCATTGGATATTGAGTCTTGATCTACACGTGCACTTTCTTAATTTCAAACAAGATCTATAAAACGAAACATTTGCTACTGCGGCCAATTACTGCACATTTGCTATATTGCGCGCACAATGCTACTAAATTATATATGTTATACATAAATTAAATATACAAATAAATATATATATATATATATATATATGTATATACATGTATATATACACTATATTTATACATATTAGATATATCTGAATCATAATAATTATATTAATAAGGAATAAATTCTAGAACCGTGAATTCTAGAAAAAATATTACTTCACACGTGTTAAGGCTGTTGTCTCGATCTGTGTACTGGCGGAAATCGAATGAGTTAGCGAATATCAAAATCGAATGCTCCTCACGACATCACCTACGATCAGCATTTGTTGGATAGCGGAGCCCAGGCCGTACATCATGTATTCCAAGTTATTTATTTTTAATATGATATATAATATGCCAAAATAGAAAAGGAATTTCGTGAGTAGATGGACAGTGTGCATCCTGAAATAAGTGCATGTCACGAGAAAGTGGTCTAAGTAAGCTGAAAAGATATAAGATACTCCAAAATAACGAAAATAAACAAATTAATTTAAGTAAATAATACTTACATTGTCTGATGCCGACGAGCTTTTGGCAAACTTGATAAACTCTCTTTTATATAGTACTGCCGAATCCAAAGAATAACAATCTTCATGTATTTCTTTAGATCTAAACGTTCTAAGTCAATTTGGAACGTCCTCTGATCTTCTGGCGACATTTTGTTGCGCATAGTCAATAGCTTAATATTGTCAAATTTCCAATCCCTTATGGTGAAATATTGCAGTACTTTTAAGCCGTTTAAAATACCGAAATATCAGCATCAAAAAGTCGATGAAATACGTGGGAATAATATGGAAGAAGAAGAGCAAGAAATTGTGTACAAATTTGTTAGTATGCAGGGCGTCATCTGGGTACCAAGCTTATCTCTCAAAAAGATACTGGTAAACAAAATTTTTAGTCATTTCCAAAATTTTACCCCACGTAGCCGATATGGTGCCGTTCTGCGTTATGTTGTACACTGGTATACGTTTTGGCCTATCGAGTAATTAAACGGAAAAAAATTGTAATTCTTGATACGTTACTAAGTTACTTTCGACTGGGCTAATGATATTGAGAACGTTTTGGAGTATCCTTTAATAGATGCACTGCCAGGTTCTTCATCGAGAACCCTCCAAACACCAACTCGTAACTTGACTTTTCCAACTAAAGATGTAAAAGAAAATTTATTCCATAATATGAGAGAGACAAAAAAGAAAAACTTTTTCCCTCTCAGATATCACAGATATCAAATTAGTCCTTCATAAGTGATCATTGTATCATGGATATCATAAAATGCTGGTAGCACATGTGTAAAATATCCCAAAGTACAGTCTTTAATTTAAACATTCAAAAAAAGCAAGGTAGAAACAGAGAGATATTACAATAATCGAGCAATTGGCTCGATATTCGTCAAATACCCTATTTCGCGTTTGAAAATCTGTGAAACTTGATCTGCTCACTCATGTAATGTTCACAAAATTAATAAGTTACTCCGTAATTCGCTCTGTAAGTTATACTTTTATATTTAGAGTATACCTACTCCTTCCTCTATCTCTCTTCTTATTTACATGTAATGTTGCAATTAAGTTTTTGCGTCCCACATGTCTACTTTGATTTACAGTTCGGTATAAATTAATAACTTATGTACAAA